TTTTGCCGTACACCCATAATGTAACTGGTAAATAGAATGATGATAAATTTGGAGACGAGTTCTTTATTGTTACATTATCATCCTCTGCGTTGCGACGATCTACAGAGGTGTCTGATTCGGGTGTTAAATGTACAGGTCTTATATAATGTTCTGGGGACTTTGACGAGCTGCCTACAGATCCCCTTTGAGAAAACCCTTCCAATCCTTCCTTGAAGAGCCCTCTCCCGCCTTCCTTGATGAACTGTATCCATTCGCCCTCAGGCACCTGAGCCTTGAGAGGATCGTGGCGAAATCTTCGTCTGACTCAGATGCATCAGGCTCGCTTTCTGAGTGGATGCTGCAGTTGCTGATATGCGTAGCTGTCTCCTTACCCTTTTCCTTAGTCTTAGAGGAAGAGCTCTTCTTCTTCAGCTTCTTTTCTTCTTCGGTATCAGAGCTTTCGCTCTCTGCATCTGATGAAGCGGAATCAGATACCACCTGTCGCGTCTTGGACGACTTGGATTTGTTCCTGGCATCATCCTTTTTCTTCCCGTCCTTCTTCTTCGCAGCTGTCTCTTTCTCCTTCTCAATCTGCCTCTTGACATGGTCCAATTTGAAACAATCGGTGCAATACTTGCCGAAGCGTTTCGACAATTTGAAGAACGTCGGCTTGTTCTTCTTGCAGTTGGCGCAGACCAACTTGTCGTCTTGCACGCTTCGCGCTTTGTCCGATTTACTTTTCCCCTTCTTCCCGACTGCGTCAACCTCCATAGCATTCAGGTCCTTGGTTTCGGCCTTGGCATAGTGGCCTTCTCGTTGTAGTGACATAAATATTTGGAGTGCAAATGTAAGGAATTCGGGCCATTTCTTGGGCCAGTTGTCCTTGGTCGTGTCTGCCAGCATGAGCAGCCACGTTTTCTCCGGAATATGTTTCTTGATCTTTTCGATCAAGTCTTGACCCGAGAAGCCTGTACCGGTTGCCTTTGGACGGAAGTCTTCTGTGAACTTTCGGAAGTCTCAATGATTCTTCTTGACGAAGGCTTCTAACTCCGTTCGCTTCTTGTCGTCCTTGTCCAATGATTCATATGCCGTGCGAAGTTCAGCGACGAACTCCGCCCAAGTTCCTGGTGCCTTATTATTTTCATTTATTTCGGTAATCCAATGTCACATGTATTCGCATGCTCCTCCTTTCAGGAGCAAGAGGGTAGACATAATTTTGGACTCGTCTTTTGTATGTTCAGTATATTTCAACCAGAGCATGACTTGTTCGAGCCAATCATCGAGATTGACTCCGTCCTTATTGCCACCATATTTTTCTGGTTGGTCAATTTTTACGCCTTTACCCTTGCGACTAAACAACGGCTCATCGTCGTCGTCCGTGTCGTCGACATTGTTACCGCCTTGCCCTGCTTTCCATCCCTGCGTAGATGCCCATGCGTGAAGTCGATCATGTGATTTCTTTAGGTCTTCTTCTCTCGTTTGGAGATCCTTGATTTCATCGTCAACTGCCACAAACGCTTCGTTAGTGGTCTTGTTTTCCTCAAGTAAAGCTGACGAGGTTTTCTCCAAGTCTGCGATTCGAGACTCGGATTGTTGACGATGTTGGTCTAAGAAGACCGTCCGATTGTGAAACTCCGTGGTGTTACGTTCCATTGTATGCGCTTGGTGCTGGATAAGATTTTCGTAATGCACCACCGTTTGTTGACGCATCTCTTCCACCACGTTTGTGACGAGATCGACTACCCAATTTTTTTTACAGTTTCGGGTATATTCGCATTTGGGGGCGCCGTGTCAGCGAGGGCTTGATGAATCATAGGATTCGGGGGTTGCAATACAATATTGAGTCGTGCGGGGAGCTTCGGAGATGGAGCACGAGAGAAGCTTGGATCATTTGGGGTGGGGGTCGTCATTTTACAATTCTTCCTCTATTTCACGAAGATGTTCTTCAAACTCGACGATATGTCTGTTTGCGATCGTGGCTTGTCGGGCAATTACTCGTCCTGCTCGTTGGTTTCGCAGCAAACAAAGGTCTCGATAGATGACCTTGACGAAGGGTTGCCACAAAAACCTGGTCTTGTCCCAAACTGCGGGCCACTGATGATTATGATGGATATCGCAAAGACGTTCAATTTCTTCGAGCCAATCGACAAGGCTATTGTAAGCTTCGGTGAGACGATCTTCGGGTTCTTTGGTTCTGATAGGGATATAGCAGATATGGACCACGACGTTCCTTCAATCAAATTCTGAATAGAGTTGAAGGGCGTATATGTGATATACGTCATGATAATCGATGTGAAACGTGTCCTCGTATGTAGCAAACGCTTCACCTGCTCTGTCCAGGAGAACTCGTGGAATTGAATCCCAAAGATAATCGAAAGTGTGACCGATTGGATTGATGTGCTCGAAATTCTCAAGATTGTTTGAATCACCCGATGAAGACATATACAAAGTAAATATTCGTATCTACAGCAAAGGTCGCCCTGTGACCTGTATTCCTAGACGATATTTCTGGATAATATCTCTGATTATCCAGCGAGCTTCTCTGCCCTGATGCTTCCTTTCCTGGATGTAGTTGCAGAAGTCACGAACCACGTGTTGGTGAATGAAGGAGAGCTTGAACTCCGCGATGTCAGTGCGGATGGACTCGAGCTTGAGTATGAGATGCTCGAGGTCGAAGATGTCGTGGTCGTCAAGCTGACGATGATATCATTTGGTGAGTAGGATACGAATTTGTCGAAGGGTGCCTTCAACGCGCTGGGTCGAGATGATGGAGACGGCGAGAGGATAAATGAAATGAGACCCAGTAGCGGTCTCGACATATGTCCCTTGATTGAGATCTGGACCAGATGGTCCTGCAGGTAGTCTCGGTCACCTGACTGAGGGAGTCTGGATAATAGAAACTGAACTAGTGCCACGAGGGGGCCGACCTCCCGTAGAGATGTGTCCTGGCCTTGGCAGGGGTCTTATGGGCCGCTGCTCGTAGAACTCTTCTGGAGTTCTCGCTCGAGGACGACGGATGACACCATCGATGCTGCGCAATGCCTTGGTGCGGCTTACGCTGATAGAGTCGGTGACTGATGGAATGTCAGGTGAAGATATGACACCGCTAACATGCGGGTGGACGTGCGAAGACACAACACTGCGGCGAGTACGCTGGGCAGGCACTCGAGGCAGGTAAGATAAGCAGACTTATTTTTCTATCACAAACTTAGGACGCAGAGCGCCGACTAAGCCTATGACCTTATGATCAAACACTTACTGACTGTTGTCGACGTAAGGATGGACACAAAGATGATCAAGGTAAAGCAGTGCCTTGCAAGTGAGCACTGGTAACACTGTATGGATAGGTGTAGCAGAGATGAGAATAAGTCTGGGGGACTTATGCATCTCAGAGCTCTGGCTTATATACATGAGCGGAGGGACCCTTGGTACCCTGATCCCCCAGAACCGCTAGCTAATGGACATTGTCTGATTGGTTACCACTACCTGTCAGACTACGTGTGTCATGCATGCTGAACCTCCGAACTAATTAGTAATACCATGGGAATGGTATTGCCTGTAATGGCTACATCTCCGGTGGCATGGTATCTATCTACCTCGTGCATGTGAACTAATATCCCCTTAAGGACATATCTCCGGTGGCGTGTATCTCCTTCGTTGGATTCTTCCGGAGTCCGACCGTTGCTTCTAGATGGGATGATATTACTGTATAAGTTAGGCTTACCTAATACCAGCGCTACTTGTCACATGTGTGGATATCACGTGATATGTCACGTGACTAGACCTGGACCTTTGGGGCATCTAGGACTGTTAGTACTTCGCGTACCGGTTCGTTCCTTTCTGAACAGCCTAGCGCTGATGTCAAATGATGTCTTGGTCACGTGCAGAGGTGAAAACGTGAAAATCTGTGACAAGTTGCAACTGAAACAAGTGATGCAAAATCGAGCCTGCACACCAGATCTTTCAATGGCATGTCTATAATAATGCATTCCAATTCACTGCACAGAGCAGGTAAGTCACAATGATGAACACCAGTGAATAAGTACCTAGTTCTTTCTGTGCGTCGAAGCTGTCCACTTACAACTGAAAATCGATCCAACAGATGCCAGTGCATCGTACAGATCCCTTCTGAACTCACTTCGTGCAAACCATCATGTACAAAGTCGAACACTGCAATGGCAGACACACAAGCCAAACTACATCGATGCCCGAACAATAAACTCCAAACTGATCACCGTATGTTTTTGATGGTCTCTTCCTATATGATGCATTCGAGCGAGATCGGTCAAACTGCACAATGGAAGTACATGAGCAAAGAACAATAAAGGCAGTGGCAGGCATGTCAAGCACGATTGATGAAACGTTCGAGGACCATGTGGAATCGAGGGAACTCACAGGTTGCGTACCTCTGAACGTCACTGACAAACGACGAGACAGCAGGACAGGCAATCCGTATCGAGGCAAAAATCCATGTATATCATTCGTGGAGCGTATGCATGACCTATGAATACTACCTCCGACCAGAGGAGAGCAGTAACCAATTGAGCGATGTGACCGTGCACACTCTGAGATGTCTCCCAAATGCGCAACCGGCGGCCGAGGTATAAAAAAACAGAGCACATCGAATAAAAACACGTTAATAGCGAGAAGCGCTGTGAATGAACATCAAAATCAGAGCATAGACCATTTGATAAACGCCAACTACTCACCATGCACCGCCGCGAGGAAGTACATAATTAAGTGATGTGAGCATATATAAAGCAATAAGTACACGCTAACAGCGAGAAACACTGCAAATCAACGTCGAAATCATTACAGACTACTCACCATGCACTGCCGCGAGGAGGTACATAGAAAACGCCATCGAGCGACGTGAGCGGATAGAAAGCAAGAAAGCTCAACAGGGGCAGCGCGATGACGAGGAGGGGCGAACGTTACGTAAACTACTTCCTAAAAGGTGTCGAACTGCAGCGACGATTATTACGTAAGCCGTTCGCGTCCACATTCTGTCAATAGCCAAATTACTTTGTTATTTGGAACCACAAGTCCTGGTCCTTGGCATACGCCTGGACGTACTTCTTGAACGTCTTGTCCTGAACGAGTGCGTAATCCGAGCTAACAGCCGACCTTCGTCAACTAACGTCCACTCGAGAATACGAAGAGCAAGCATATGGCATCATCAGTGTGCCGGTGGTCTTGTCTGCGAGCTGTTTGGGGCCGTCCCACTTCCTCCAGACACATTTGTCTTTGAGCAGAAGGCGGAAGTACTCGTTACTGACTGTTACTGGCGAGAACGTCCAGGGGCCGTCGAATCCGGAACGGTCGCGGTGGCAACGGCCGACGGCATGTGCACCAGATAGAGCTACAGATTCCTGGTCGTTGAAGCTATACTACCATTCGAACGCCACAACGCACTCAGTCCGTCGCAGGCTAGGGCCACCTATACGCCGAGCACGAAAAAGATCAACTTCGGACGTGGATGCGACGCTTGAGCACCGCGAAAAACAGATGGCGGCGTAATATCAGTCCAGGATGGACAGTAGTAGCGGATTGCGCTGCTGGACGGGATTCGAGCCCGAGCGTGCGAAATACGCGCATCGCCGTTCACACCATGGCCACGAGGACGCGCCCTGGATGGAGCGCTAGAGGGCGCGCAGGCAGCTCGTCGATGCAATTCAGCCAGGGCCTAACGACTCGACGGAGGCCGAGGAATCGCTCTGCTTCGGACCAAGATGGAATCTATATTTGGGATGCGAGTGCAAGTGTGGTGTGATTCGTCGAAGGAGGGAGAAGCGACGAGCGACGGGTCGGCCAAGTGGGCCGCGTTTCTGTCTGTCTAGCGTATAAATAGTAGCCAATGCCTCCGGCCGCAGTGAGTGCTGCTAGGCCTGCGAATAAAGCAGTATTCGACTTCTTCGGCGCTGCCTCGGTGGAATATCTCCTGAAGGCAGGATTACGGAAGGTGCGAGGTGCCCCAGCGTTAACGGCCCTGCAAGATTGAAGTTGAATCTGGGATTGAATCTGGGTCCGATTATGCCGCATTAAGGTGTGATCCCTTGTCACATGATTGGGAACATCTTGAAAACATGCTGTGATTATTTGCATTGAAACGTGTTTTTTGTCTTAATGCATGCTGCCATGCCATCGGGCTGTGTCCAGACAGCACATTGTAATTGCATTATGAATTCCTCATGGTATACATGCTGGCTGCATCACAATTTCATTTTGAATGTGAAGAGAAAGATGCCATGATGTAAATTGCGTGACATTTCGCTGACACATCAGGGATCATTTTGAGCACATTTTGAAAACAAGCTCAATGATCCCACGTTGTTCCTCATCTGGCCATAACAGGCACATCGAAGGAACATTTATAATGTTATCACAAATATTCCATATTATTGGTGTGACGAACATTGCAGTTTTATCTGTAGCATAATTAAAATTTTCATTCACTGATAGCAGAATGTTGCCATGTGGATCATTTGAAACACACAGTGTATGAATGCTGGCGTATCATTCTGGACGAATTGGTTGATCAGTTCAGTATCTTTACAAATGATCCCGTTGCAATGTGTGACGGAAACATCAACAGGTCATTGTGACTGTGACCATGATGTGTTCACGATGATCCCGGCGGAATCATGCCCTCGTGCCCCCGGTGAAGGCTCTCCGCCAAATTCGTAATGGGCGACGTAACTCGCCCCGTGCGAACGTATCGATGAGCCTGATCCAGGCGGCCAAACAGCGATTGGCCGCATACACTCAAACAGGCGGCTGCGCGCACTGTTCTTCCATACTGCCACATGCATTCTGATTCCAGCACGCCCAGCGCTCCGACCGTCCCTATACATCTTCAGTGCGGCCTTCGGATGATCCTGGACTCTATAAGGGGATTTATCAAGCATTTGTAGAATGTCGTAAAGACGCTCTGATGTCTCATTGCCTTCTCCTCCGATGTATGGCACCGATGCACGGGCCCGTGCGGGTGCGATATCGCTCGCATCACGAGAGCCTGTGCTGCTGAATGCGGACGCGGCTGCTCCTTCTGCGGCGATGAAGGCCTTGTTCGACGTCTATTCTCGTGCGTCTCGCCTGGTGTTGCGACGTTCTTGGATCTGGACCGACGCGAAGGAACCTTACATCTGCACGACGTGATTCCGAAGTCACTGGCTCAGTGTCAACGCTCCCAATTGTTGCCCGCGGTCGAAAGTATATCCTGCGATTCGCCTGATTGCGAGCTTCCTGAAGTGCGTGGTCTTACCCAGTCTTACCGTTTTCATGACCAGACCTCTTCTTTGCACTCCGGAGAAGAGAAGGGCACCTGATGCTATGCCGGCGAGCTGGCAGTCCAGTCCTCGCTGTCTGTATACCAGCGCCACCATCAATAGACGGCGGCCACGGGATGATTTCTGTATGCGAGCCATAGCTGTGGAGCGCTGCAAGATTGGTTGAACCGCGGGCTGCACGGCCATGAAACACCCCCTGCTTTTCTCGTGTCGCAACTCTATGTAAGTCAATCCAATCTACGTACACCGCGGACATGAGGTCGCGTGCATCAGGCGGAATTAGGGCGAGGTTTAGAACAAATGCCACAGCCAACTGCTTCGCCCTCTTGGCTAATCGATATTCGCATGTCCTTGCCGCCGCTTCGCCTCTGCCTGGATCCGCTCGACGCTGAGTTTGATCTCTCTCTCCCATTCCGTGCCAAGCCACACCACCACGTACTCGCTCAGGCCTACGATCGTCAGCGCGATAGTCTGCCCTGCAACGCGATGGCGGTATTTATCAGATAACGCACGAGCGCAGAGAAGAACGCCTGATCTGCGCACCTATCCAGAGGCCCTGCAGCCCGAGGTTTGTCCGGAATGCGAGGGTGATACCGACGGGGAGCGCAAGGACGTAATATGCGATGACGTTGAACATCGCTCCTAGGTGCTGGCGGCCTTTTGACGCGAAGTTGACCCATGTTAGTGTTTTTCGGTAGTCAAACTGAAGAGAAGTCGCACCCTGTCCACGGAGTACGCCGCCACAAGAGCCCGCGAGGCCATCCCAGATCTGCACGCTCTCTGTCATCCATTGGTCCACGGTGTTTTGGGACCAGAACGCGAACCTGGAAGATGGCCAGGAGAGGCATCACCTTGCTCACAAGCCCGATCACGGGCTGGTCGTCGTTGAAGAGATAGCCGAAGACCTACGCGAGCGAGGGAACGTAGAGTCAGCAAAGGCACCGCGGGACCGAGAGCATGTCACGTACATCCTTAGTCACCATGAGCACGACCATAACAATCACTCCGACCACCACGCTCACGAAAGCGGATGCATGGCTGGCTTGCTTCGCCGCTTGCGCCGCCTGTGCACCGATGAGGTTACCGATGCGGGTGGAAGCGGCGACGCCTGTCAAGCGCAATGCTTACATCGATCATTCACACGACTCGACGTGGCAGATGACGAGCGGACGTACCGATGCCAAACGGAATGGTGTTCAGGACTGAGCCGCTCGATTAGTCGGACTGTTTGCCAGGCGAGGGAAGATGCTCACTTTGATCGGCGGTCATGATAGCGGACTGTGCTGCGAGCGGCAGGGCACCTAATCTGCCTGCAGCGAGAGCGACGATCTCAAAAGCGGCCATGGGGAAATCAAAGTCAGTACGCGCCAGTGTTCATGCAAACGAAACCCACCATTCCGTGCCGACCATGAATATTCCAGGGATCGCCAAATTCAAGAATTGTATGCAACTCTTGAAGTCGAGGACGGTGGACATCTCAACGCTTGTCCAGGTCCCGTTTTCGCGATGCGTCGGGGAAATTCACATGTAAGCTATGAAAGCCCGAAGCACAGCCAAAAGGTCATGGAGATGGCGACTGGTGACCCAAGGAGCCCAAGCGGGGTGTAATGCGCAAGGTAGATGTTCAGCAGCAGGTTGATCGGAGATACCGCGATGAGCACGTAGGTCGACGCCCGCATGATGCCTTGGCATTGCAGGTACTTTCTGAGACTCTCGAATCCGATGTATCCGGGAGCGCCAGCGATCAAGATGCGCAGGAACGTCTGCACGTCGTGGCTCAGTCGGGCTTCCTGCCCGAGCACCAGGAGGACGGGCTCCATGTATGCCCATAGGAACATCACTGGTATGAACAGTAGCCAGAGCAGGACCAGGCAGCGCTGGAAGTGTACTGAGACAAATGAACGATCGCTGCCTGTGAAAGCCTGCGACCCGAGGGTATCTAGAGCAGTGGTGCCCCCGAGGGCAACACACCAGCCTTTTGATAGTAAGATGGGTTATTTGTGTTCTGATGTTTGATTCCGTGCACTCACCCGCCATAGCCAGCATGAAAGAGAACGCGCAGACCGAGAGCTCATGGGGACCTAGACGGCCTGTGACCAGGACTGAGACTGTCTGGATAGAATTGTGTAGAATGTAAGAGAGCGTTACAGGAAGATCATATCAGCAGTCAAGCAGAAATTGCTAGCACTCCGACGCACCTGGGATCGAGTCAGCCAGAAGAGAGGAGTAGAGAGAGACAAAGCTCGTATGTGCCGTGTCGTCCTGTATGTCTGCTACGCAGGCTGACTCATTCTCTATGAGCGTATTAGAAGAAGACGGAGTATCCGGTCCTGGACTCCGGTCGTTTTCGCCGGCCACTTTCGCCAGTAGAGGCTGTCTTTCATCCGAGCCATTCTCATCGCGTACTCTGCAGAAGATCGTGAGTAATCTATGCCTTTGCACGATCGTCTCTTTCAACGTTATATACGAGCCTCGGGCGCTATGTGGCCCAGACCATGAGTACGCTGACTCCCCCCCGGTCGGCGCTCCGCGCTCCTCAGCTTCGATCATCATGTATCAGTCGCCGTAGCATAGCCCTTAAAATCCGAGTCGAGGTTGGAAGGAACGGGCAGCAGTAGCAGGGGACCTCGGGTTACGAATTGTCGATATCAACTGTGTAAGCCACTCTGCTCATGCACTTATCGATGAAGCAACACGACTATTCTCAGCGGTCTTGCAATGTATTGGGCAGGCCACGCATAAACTTCTTCGAAGCCTGACATCGATAGCGAAGATGACATTAGATTTCATTCAGCATGTCTCCGTGGAGGCGGTCTGCGGCAGATAAGTATTTCACACGTACGTCCTTCGTCATATGGTAGGATCGAGGGTTGATAGCAATCACTGGCGCAGGCCGTTAGCGTGGTTCAGACGCGCTAATCAGCTTCTTCGTGCAACCGACGGCGCTTTGCTTCTTCATGGTTACGTTCGACGCTCTTCTGCACTTCTCTATCCCAGTCGGTGCCCAGCCATACCACGGTATACTCTCCGAGGCCGACAATGAAGAGAGCGACGACTTGCCCTGCCATTTAAAACATGAACGATCTTCGTTGATATCGAGTATGATGCTCAGATTACGTACCCAGCCACAGCCCCTGCAGGCCAAGATGAGTGTGAGAGTTGAAGGCGAGCGTGATGCCCATTGGCAGCGCTAGAACGTAGTACGCGACGAGATTGAATATGGCTCCGAGATGCTGGCGCCCTGCAACCCATTTGCGCGTGTCATTGGGACGGCTCAAGAAGCGTGACTGCGCGTGGCTTACCTTGGCCACGAAGCACGCCTCCACACGAACCCGCGAGACCATCCGCGATCTGCACGTTGTCGAGAAGCCGACGTCGGCAGCGCGTCACAAGAACCGATGAATGGTGACGTACCTGAAACGAGGCGACCAGCGGCATCACCTTGCTCACTAGCGCGACGACAGCTGCATCGTCGCTGAAGACGTAGCCGAAGACCTGTTTCATCGCAGTTGGTAGGTGTTTGAGCGGAGGGAGGGACAGCGCACTTTGCGGGTCAACAGCATCACGGCCATGACGATGGAACCTACTAGGACGCTCAGGAATGCGGAAACATGACTGGCGCGCTTCGCGCCTTGCGCATCACGGGCGCCGATTAAGTTGCCGACGCGAGTCGAGGCAGCCACACCTGCAACATGCGTAAGAATAGAATCGGTTGAATTAGGAATGATCATGGCCTCACCGATGCCGAATGGAATCGTGTTCAGAACTGGTGACAAGGTCGGTTAGCTTGAGCGTTCTGATAAATGTTATATCGGACGTTGACGGACTTTGATCGGTGGTCATAATGACAGATTGGGCAGCGAGAGATAGAGAGCCCAATCGACCGGCAGCCAGGGCTACAATCTCAAACGCAGCCCTGGATCGGGGAAGATCAGGGAGACTGTATTGGCGAGATCCAGTGATGCCAACTTACCATTCGGTGCCTACCATCAAGATTCCCGGTATGGCGAGTTTGAGGAAGTCGATGCAGCTTTCTGCGTCGAGAACAGTAGCAAAGTGCAGCCCCGTCCATGTCTGATTGCGATGGTGCGTGGGTGATAGGTACGTGACCAGGATGAGGAGCAGAAAGCATAACCAGTACGTGATGGATATGGCGGCCGGTGATCCGAGCAGACCGAAATGCGTGTAGTGGACGAAGAACACGTTCAGCGCCAAGTTGACAGGTGCAACCATCAGGAGGACATAAGTTGACGCCCTCATGATGCCTGACATCATCGTGTATGAACATCAACAGACGCGCATGACTGAGCAAGAAGGCGCACCCTGGCATTGCAAGTATTTCTTGACGCTCTCGAAGCCGATGTATCCGGGTGCCCCGAGAATGAGGACGCGGAGGAAGCTCTGCACGTCGCGACTCAGTTGTTCTTCTTGCCCGAGTGCGAGCAAGACGGGCTCGATGAAAGCCCACAGAAAGGCTACGGGGATGAACAAGAGCCATAGGAGCACGATGCACCGCTGCAGGTGAATCGAGACGGATGGACGATCGCCACCGGTGAAGGCCTGCGACCCTAGGGTGTCAAGGGCGGTGGTTCCACCGAGGGCGACACACCATCCTGCTTTATTTCCGACAGCGGGTTCACCGGGGAGGAAGGAGGGATTCAGTCAGATAGATGTGGGAGCTGGCCACGACTGGCGTACTGACCTACCATTGCGAGCATGAGCGCGAAAGCAGCCGCAGAGAGCTCATCGGGGCCAAGACGGCCAGCGACGAGAACGGAGACGGTCTGAATAGAGTTCTGCAAAACATAAGACAGAATCACTACAACACAATATCAGAGCTCCGCCAGAGCAGACGAGAGTTGTGACTGACCTGGGACGGAGTCGACGAGGAGGGAGCGGAAGAGCGGGCCGAAGGCACGGGACGCGACTTCCAGATCGGGGAGGTCGGTGGCGGAGAGCTTTGGGGATGGATCAGACGCGACCGTCGACGCTGTGGACGACGACGACGAGGGGCCCTCCTCCGTCGAGAGCAGCGGCTGGGATTCGTGCGATCCGGGCTGAGAAGCAGAGCTCATCTTTGACGGGGTGTATCGGGGTTCCGTATCTTCGCGATGGGCTTCGCTCTTTTCTAGTCCTCATGCCCGGTGGTCGAGATACTTTACGCAGGGAGACCGGGCACTGACACAGCCGCATCTGAATTGCTCCTCGAGCAGGGCCTCAGTCCCATTCATTTTCTTGGAATGTGACTCACGAAGCGTATCGGCATCACGCCCTTCTCCAATCAGCTTTCCGTTGCTGATGATAAGCCAACGGATGCCTGTTCATCCGACCGGAATACGATACGGCAAGTGCTTCCGTTTGCATCTTTGTTTTTCCAATCTCTCGCTTATAGCGCTTCCTATGAATTTGTGTCACCGGTCATGGGTCTCACCATGCGTTATCGCGCCCATTTGATCTCGGCCTCGTTGCATCTCAATGCAATTTAAACCCCTGCTCGTGTTCTCCCAGCTTCTCCTACCCGCCGCCATCATGAAGCTCTCCCTCCGTCTCAGTGCTTTCGCCTCCCTCGCCGTCTGCGTCGTTGCGCACGAGGGCCATGACCACGACACCCAGATGCCTCTCGACTACGTTCGGTTCCCTTACCAGGCCATGTACCCCGGTGACAATGAAGGTTCAGACCATACGTGCACAGGCTTTGCGCGATTCACTCACTAGGCCCACAGTCACAGCGGACTCTGTCTTCTCCGGTATCGCCACCTTTGCCAAGCTACCCTGGGTGCAATGCCTTGGAAGGGATAGAGATGCCTCCTTTGATGTTGCTTTCATCGGTGCACCGTTCGTACGTATATCACTGCTTGAACCTTATCAGGCACATACTGACGCCGCAGCAGGATACTGGAACATCCTACCGCCCGGGAGCTCGCTTCGGGCCTGCGGGTATTCGTGCCGGCTCTCGTCGCTTGACACTCTACGGCGGTTACAACGTGCCTCTCGAAGTCAATCCCTTCCACTCGGGACTCAAGATCGTCGACTGCGGTGACATCCCCGTTACCCCGTACGACAACAAGTACGCCATAAAGCAAATCGAAGACGGACACAAGTCTCTGCTCCACCGTCAGACCTTCTCGCCGCTTGGCAACGACTCCGCTACCGGTCTGCCTCTCGTCCCCATTTCTGTCGACGGGAAGCATCACCCTCGCGTCATCACGCTCGGTGGCGATCACACGATTGTTCTCCCGCTGCTTCGATCTATATACAGTGCTTACGGGCCGATTTCTGTCATCCACTTTGACAGCCATCTCGATACCTGGAAGCCTCAGGTCTTCGGTGGTGCGCCCACCGATCAAGCGGCGATCAACCATGGCACGTACTTCTACTGGGCAAGCCAGGAGGGGCTCATCAAGAACGGAACTTCCATCGCAAGTGTCTTTTTCTCATCATGGCTGGCGTTTCTTTTCTTCCGCATGAATCCTTGATCCTAGTTGAGGCTTTTGCTTCGCAGCATGGCGCCATCCGCACCACTCTGTCCGGCCCTGCGGACTATGTCAACGACGATGAATCTGGGTTCCAACGAATCGAGGCCCGCGAAATTGATACCATCGGTACGTTGGATCCGCGCTCGGGAGAAGGCATGCATGCTGAAGGCCTGTGGCACAGGCACCGCGGGCATTATTAAAAAGATCCGCGATACCGTGGGTGATCAGCCGGTCTACCTGTCCATCGATGTACGTACGGTTCTGAAGGACGCTCGCGTGCAAGTGGCTTAGCGTGTTGTCAGATTGACTCCATCGACCCTGCGTTCGCTCCTGCGACCGGGACGCCAGAGACGGGCGGATGGTCCACGCGCGAGCTGCGCACGATCCTCAGAGGTCTAGACGGTTTGCATATCGTTTCTGCTGACATCGTGGAGGTTGCCCCTGCTTATGACACCAATGCCGAGCTGACGACGATGGCGGCTGCGGATGTGAGTGCGAGATGCGATGGTGACAGCGTTGCTCGACTGACGCGGTACCCTAGGTGCTGTACGAAGTCCTCAGCGTTATGGCCAAGACACCGCTAGGTAAGGTTTTGGTTTGACGCTGGACGGCGGCATTCAATGGCATCGAAGCCATGCGCATGAGTGCTCTATGCAGTCCTGTTGTATTCGGCTCGCTCCTGTTGTCTCGGCATACGTGAACTGTATTAGGTCAAAACATTGTTTACCAATCTGCATTCAGAGAATCTTCGGGTTCGCATGGCGGCGTGCATTAGCGTGTAAACTACCAGTAAGATGTCGCGCTGTTTTGGCAACAAGCGGGCCTTCCGGAAGTTTCACGCTTCGTGCGGAGATGGCACCAAACTTGTTCAGTGCATCCTCGGGGCGCGGATCTTATCAGATATGGCCCGGCAGTCGCGTGCAGGGATGAACGTTGGAAGGATGAATTTGAAACGCTCAAATGACGGTGTCTAATGATTGTCACGAATCATGTTTTATGAACCCTGCACCGTGTATCTCCTCCGCTCTGCCCCCATCCGCCAGTGGGAAGCATCATAAGATGCTATTGCACGTGGATGTTTCACGTGTGGTTCCGGACTTCGTTGTCTGTGAGCTTCCATTTTCGCTGGAACGCTGAGCGTTGTATGACCAATGAAATCAGACGCTGACGAGAATCGAGACATGCTCTGCTTTCACTAGGACAGGCCTTTCGCGTGGCATGGCAAACGCCTTTATGCAAGAGACTATCGTGAGCGGAGCGTATAGTTTTGACATTCTCACGTTCACCCGCTGCCTCGAGGCGATACGCTGAACCGAGGAGAGCCAGTGAGGATCAAGAATCGCTTTACGGTATACTTCGACAAACTCTTCCCACACCTCATTTCGCTGCTGAAGGGAATAACCACTGACATATCGATGAAAGCGAGCTGGACTCTGTTCATCTTCCATTCAGTAGGAGTGTCCCGGCGGAACGATTGTTTTGCCCTAGCATCTCAAGGTGGGCCGGTATATGGTTGGCCAGTAGGCAAGACGGCTCATTTGTTTTCGCAGAGACGAGGACAGGCCGTAACAATTGGGAGCCTCGAGGCTGAAGAATTTACTCATCTGACGAGTTCCCCAGGTTCGAGATCCTTCTTCAGCGTGCCGTCACCGACAGGATTCGGAAGCTTCACCCCGATAGCTTGCAGCACGAGGCGTCGTTGCGGCATGAGGCATCTGTCATGAATGGTATGCGACTGTATAACTTGGTACAGTTTGCTCCCTTGACAGGTTTCCCCGGTATGTTGCCTCCCTCCAATCCAGACCTCGGCTGACCTGAAAGCTCTCCGATCGCGCCTATACGGTCTCGACGTTCCTGATGCTTGAAGGAGATGAGAAGAACGTCGCATTATGTCCATATGATGTGATCCCCCCTCTCCGTGGGTGGTCGGTTGGTCGGTGTATGTTCTTGACCGGTTGATTGACGAAATTTTCCCAGACAGTTTGCGCTAATGGTTGCGCTTCCGATAGCAGTATCCACCCCTCAGGTAATCCTGCGGTGCCGTATAGTGCAACTCCATGCGCCGTGGGAAGCTACATGACGCTGTGCCGGAATCTGAAGAACACCTGAACGTCATCTGCACCCCCGTTGTGTGACCGTTTTGCTGTCAGGTGAGCCGGAACAAAACACAATACAAGGTCGCCCTTCTTGGTACGTACACTCTCAACTCTATGAAGCATTCAGCTGACCGCAAGGAGCCATCGGTCCAGAATGCACTTGAGTGTTATCGATGAGCGGCAACGCCAGCTCACTAATCGCATACAATCCTTATGGTGCAAGGTGGAGGTCGTGATATCAAACTTAGCTGGTCGAAAGCGCATTCTCCGCTAAGCGTGCAAGTTGGCTCAGAAATTACGCGCCAATCTTCATGTTCACCAACGTGGCATTTCAAATGACTGTTTCGCAAGCTTCTCTTCGAAATGTTCCGAGGAGATGGGTTCGAAGTCATTCTCCAGCCTATGCCACTATTGCCACGCACTGGTGCGCGATAAGTCAATGGGAAGAGAGGGTAGTTGGTGAGCGGACCATCTTTGGAGCGCCATGATGAACTTCTTGACATTGATCACTTGGTGGCATCTAGACCGCGGAGAACCTCATTTCACTTTATATTTGGGCAGCGTCCGCTCGGAACTTCGCAGCCCGTGACAGAATTATTCACGGTTGAAAATATGCGCCGCTCGTTTTCGAATTTTTTGGGCGGGGAGGTGATACGGGTGATGGGCAATCGCATCAAACTGGTGACGCCTGTCGGTTGACGTGCTGTCCATGGGACCGCGCAAGTTGTGCGGCCGTCAATTTCCGTTCCTCCCTTTCTTAGGCCAGGTTTTTGGGCCATTGACGTGCGTCGTCTTCTACAGAACTGATTGTTGCGGTCTCAATGCAGCTCAGTCGGGATCATCAACGTCAGAAAGAGAAAACAGAAAGATTTATATAATAATGCACTTATGGTACATTGCTACAATTACACCAAATCTAAAATTTCAACATGCTACAGAAACACACGGCAACGGCAAGGATACCCGTATTTATGATAGGTCGAAACCGGCATTGGAGGTGATGGCCTGAACGAGCTTTTCGCGGAGGACCTTCTCGCTCTGGTACCGGGGAAGCTGCACAAACTAGGTGAGCATCGAATAGACTAACTGTCGCCAGATACTTTGCGTACCTTGAGGAGATTCACGCACGTACTAGCGGTCGGCAGGCGGTTCTCATCTGAGCTGGAGTCTCGGATGGAAAAGTTCGGAACGAGTTCCTTGAAGCCGCTGAAAGGTGACGTCAACATGGCTTGGCTTGAAAGAAAGAACGGCGCTGCTCACAGTAAAGGAGGCCGACTGCAACTCGTCGCGAATCGCAAGAGTTCGCGGCGCTTTTCCTGGTCGAAGGAATTGACAACCTGGATCATCATGCTTCAATCTCAGCAATGTCAATAAGCACAATGACGTGTTCCACTGACCCTCCAGAAAATCTCGATCGTCGGGTGATGATCGTCGTACAGCCCACCATAGTTGGTATTTTGCCGGAGATCGTCGAGATCAATCGGTGAATTGACACCGCCCAGCAGGATCTGCAGTTCCTGTTGGTTGAACATCCTACAGAAACCAGCTCAGCATCCAACGCCTAATCTGGCATGCGTGTTCAGCTTACCTTAGCCATTTGGGGTCAATCATGTCCGAGAGACCCTCGAAAAAGGCCTCGCTCTGCTTCTTGATTTGCTTATTGAGGCGGTAATGTGAGACGAGATAGATGTATTGTAATTTGTTCTCGCGAGTCACGGCGATGTTGCTGCCATTGGGGATCAGTTCGATGGTCCTTGTCACGCCGAATTCTACGCGCCATGTCAGCGCAGCATTAATGACACGACAGAGTGCATACCTTGTTCGGCAACAGTAAAGTTCAGGGTGAGGTCTTCCGGGTTCCCTTCATAGTGCTTCAGGAAGATGAGACCCTGATACAGCTCCGGATCCAGCGACGCAAGATCGTCGAGGAAGCTCTGCTTCCCGAGCCACTATGGAATGGAAGCGTTAGCCGGACATTTTTCACGAATCGCAACAATTGCGTGCCTTTGCCAAGAAGAAGCCAGCAAACGCGACATCGACGAGAATTCCCTCGTACAGTGCTTTGCCCAGGATGCGGCCGATGAAGCGGTACCAACTCAAGCTGTGGGCTTTTCCACGCGACATGAGCATCCCGTGCGCATGAAGCAAAAAAGATGCTTACACTCAGTGGCATAGGAGTGAGGGTTGGGATACAGTTCGTTCGCCTTGTTCGCGAGCCACAACCCGCGGTCGGTATCAAACACCTCCTTGCACAGAGATGTCAAGAATTCCTTGAAGACGCCTCCGCCATCGATACCGGCCCTACGAGCGAATATCCGAATTAGCCATCGGATCAAACAGCCACATGCCACGACGACACTCACTCCTCGTTCCCAAATTGGTCCACAAACGTGATCATGATCGGCGCATGCAAATCCGCATCCTCGAGCTTGTCAAACCCGTCCTGCGCGACAGATCCGCGGCGCACGACGACGCGCTGCCGTGCAAAGTGCGGAGTTTCCCGCACGCCGCGCGTCGCCATGTCATTGCGGATGAAGTTGCGAAAGATGGCGACGCGCGTCTCGAACGGGATGGCGAACGGGATGTTGTTCAGCACGCCGAGCCGCGGCGAGAGGTACGCGACCTGCCGCTTGGTGAGCGGGTGTGCTCCATGTGGCTGCGCGAGGTTCTGCTCTTCGATGCTGCAATGCGGAGGTCAGCGGACGGAGATCAGCATGGTATGTGAGAGAGTACGAACACGGCGGCCTGGATGAACGTGGTCATGTCCACTTGAGAAGTAACCAGCCAATGGTCGGGGGGAGTGAAACGCCTTCTCGAGCTGCAGACGCCACGATTAGAATGGATTGCGATAATCAAACCACCAGTGGACTTACTCTCTCGCATGTATTGCCTGCAAGCACTTCGCCAGCTGAAACCTCACCGTAGCCCATTGCAAGACTCCGAGGCCGGGAACCGCGCCACCCAAGTCCTCGCGCCAATACAGCGTGAATGCGGCATTGAGCAGGCGGCGCGAGAATGACACGATCTCGTCGAGCGCGAGCGGGTTGCGCGGTGCATTCGTGCCCAGCGCACTCGAGAAGAACTCGTCGTCGCCCATCGTGAGCAGCGCCTGCGTATAGAGGTCGATGAGAAACAGCAGTGGGGGCCAAGAATCGGCGAATTCGGGGCCTATTACGGCAGAATAGATAAGATGTACAATGAACTACAGACGAGTGTGGAAACTTACTTGTTAGCTTATCCAACGTGTCTTCTCGTCCAATTGGTGAACTCCTGACATAGAGGCGGTATATCTCCCTTACGAGCCCGCCCCTATTGAACGCGACTACAGTACCCAACACCTTATCCTTCCTCGACGGCCACACATTCGTAAGCGCAAAGAAAAACGAGATGAGACTGAGCCTGGACGGATGGCGCTGAGCCGCCTGCAACAGAGCGTGCAGGTGGTCCGGGGACGGGAGGGTCTGTAACCGCATCCGTGTGCGATTATCGAGCTCTGGGAGGATGGACTTCGGCTCGAACGAGGTTACGACGGACACCTGGATCGCATCCTCGTCCTCGTCCGACTCGTCGCCATCCGCCCAGTTGCGCGCGTCTTCCTTCTTTTCGGGCGGCTCGAGCGCGTGCGTTGGGAGGTGGTTCATGAGCGCGGACATTAGCTGCAGATACGCGTCGAACGCTGCGGGGGAGAGCTTGGGGTAGGCGGGAGGTGCAAACATGACGAGATTTGCGAGCAAGTGGATCTTGGGTTCAGGTGGCGAGAGTGGCGGGCTGCTCACTAGCGACTCGATGGAGGGGGCGACTATATGCAGCGAGGAGAGCGGCAGCGCTCGGGTGAATGCCTTGAGAGATTCTATCGGCAGACGGTTGGGAAGGAGGGGGATGGTGAGGATATAGATTACCAGATCTGTCAGACATTGCGGCAGAAGGACCGAATAGGACAGAGGAAGTGTGATGAGAGAGACGAGTGGCGGGAGACTGGGAGACTTTGCCTTGGACTCGACAGGCTATGTAACAATCTGAGAATATATCACAGCATATATGCGAGACGACGTACGATTTGTAAGAGCGCCTGACCCAGGAGGCGATAATAGCCGCGATCGAGTAGATATTCAACGTACTCGGCTTTGGCTGGTGTGCTTGAGAGCAGGGAGTTGAGAACGGTCAGATGAGATAGCGCATATTGAGATCTGCTCGATTGTTAGCGCATATATTGCGAGAGTTAAACACGGATGGACGCACTGTGGCTCAAGCGATAGCGATTCGAGGAGTAGCAGGGCTGTTCGTTTGAGTAGGGTATGCCAACTCGGCTCGTCATGCAGAAGGACATCTGCGTGATATTCAGCACCATGCAAAAGACATTCAACGTATTCGCTCGCACCTTGTCGTCCATTCGCTACTGCAGTCGACCACTGACCCAGGACGTCCTCATCCTTACCAATGAGCACTAAACACCTCAAGCCCGTCAAGCCCACCACATCCTGCGCAAACGTCCTCCGGAGCTCCTGTCTCGTCTCACGAGCCTGCAAGGAGCCCCGCCACCACGCCTGGATCTTAGTAGCGCTATCCTGCCTGCGTTTGAGGTCATGCCGCTGGGAGCGTGCCTTCTTCGCCTCGTGAAGGATATCTGAATAATTGGAGGCGGAGCGGATGCCGCCGAGGTTGATCTCTTTCCGTCGCCGTGTGAGCTCGTCGCCGAAGAGTGGGGTCATCGTAAGCAGAATGTATGCGCGGGCAGTGTAAGGTTGGAAGTCAAGTAGTTGTACTAGGAAAGAGTCCAAGCTGGCGTAATCAGCGTTGCAGCCTCGGTGTGGTAAGCGCCTGAATTGCGTATTCACTGACTGATCGAGATCACATCGCCGTCCGCCAGCCGGTTCAGGCTTTGTTCCGACTTTGCTGCTCGGTGCATTATATATTATATTGCACACACCTGATCAAGGTATCCAAGATTCATGCTTCCCTAAGTACTACAGAGATATCGCGATATGTAAGCATCCAGCAGGCTGCACATCACTCAGGAAATTGGCGAGTTACACTGCGACGTCCATCCTCGCGTCGTCTTCTCGTCTATCGCTGGCTGTGTAAGGCACTACCATGACAAAATCGTGAAGCTCGTGTTTAGGTGATACGATTAATGCGCATTAATTCAAATTGCTCGCCTCCAGGACAGTGCTGGAATACAGCTCATGGCGCATTACCCCGTACCTTCTCAATAATTAAACAGCGAAGACAATATCGCCTTGCTCATCACCCATCCGCCCAGTCATCTAGAATGACACGTTTATTTACGTATTTCTTCATCTGGTGCAATTCCTGCATTTCTCATCCTCCTCTCTGGGCTGTCGCAGCATGCGTGCCAAAGTTCAGCCGGGTGAAGATGTGGCCTAGCGAAGACGTAGTGACGATGCGGATGCTTTCTCCTGTTTCATGACCTATGGGCGAGCATGACCAGGAGAGGAAATTGTACGAGGTACAATTGCTCCGATGCGTGAGTGCGCGAGGTGTCTAGGTGAGTGGAGGCAGGAGGGAGCGCATCGAGGACGTCGGTGCCGAATTGAACGTCATACCCATTCACAGTGCGAGGAATCATTACATCGCCAGTCTCACCCACTTCTCAACAAAATGCTCCTTGCTACACCTTCCTTGCGCCATAACACGCAGCCCGAACAGCATCACACCCATCACTCGAACTCAACCGCAGCTCTTTTGATCGACTTCGAGTGCACAAACCCAATTGCAGGAACGTCACCTCTCCCAGTCGCTTTCCTAGCTCCTCGTTGGTTGCTACGTCCTCACCTTGCCATGCGGCACCAGTCGCACTTCGGTGTTGTGCTGAAGCGGCATTTTTTCATGAGCCCTCGTGAGTCGCCAAGTTGAGCAACTTTACATTCCCATGGTGGTCTTTCCAGAATTGTCATTTTCTCCTGTCAGGATGATGACCTTTCCTGATAGGTCAGGAATGCCAGCTACGAACCGCGGGGCTTTCGAAAGCAATCATTAATTGGTTGAATGTCGACACCGAGCGCAGATGCTCTATGTGGCAGAGAAATGATTGTGACACGCTAGCTTGCAGTCCATTTGATAGCCATTTTTACCGTTGATCGGCATGTACAGCGCAAATTAACCGATCGAGCTACCACCCACGCGACGCGACGCGCACATGTGACCGATTTCGGTGCGGCACTCGGGATTTGCGAACTTGCGGGAATCCCTCGACGATGGTGATGTTGGCGAGAAGTTCTAGATGATACGATGCACCTCTAGCTGCGCAAGAGAGAAAGACAAAGGTTAGCTCCGTAAAACGAGAGTCATCGCGCACCACCACTAGTTGATCCGAGTGCACTCCGTGCCATGATGAGCTCCCGCAGCAATATCAAAAGTCAACCATCTCAAACGGCGGTCTAAAGTGTGATGTATACAGACGCTTTGACTCGACTGGCGGCCGACAGCGCGCCTATGTTGAACGTCGAAGGCCTGAGCGGCGCGCGCGCCGCTGCTATCGCTCGGCGCATGATGCGGTATGATGATAGGAGTGGCTCTCGCAGAGAAGATGCGGACACTCGGCGTAACCTTCCGTGCGTAAGTCGCCAATTTCTGAACGTTGGTGAGAATGCGATGGAGCGGGCTATAAAGGACGAGATACATGCAATCTTGAACGATGTTGGCTTGAGCACACGAGCTGACAGTACCTGGGACATCGAAGGTAATCTCGCAGTACAGGAGTCAGCAAAGAGCTCGGTCCGATGCTGGCAGCTGACGATCAATTATGAGCCCTCGGGAGGCCAATCACGAACGGGGTTATTTGCAGCGACTGCGCATTTCATTCCACGGGTCGTCCGAGCGCCAGCCAGTGAATACGCGCAGCCTGCCATAATCAACACGCGTGCTTCTGGGGGCGTGTGGGCCTCATCAGCGTCGACGTCGAAGCGCGGAAAGACGATGCACCCGACGTCTTCGGTAGCAAAGTGCAATGAAGCCAAATCTTCCGAGTCGGTGCCAAGGTCAACCAAGTGTCGCAAAGCTATGTTTCTCGGAGACGTTTGAAGTGATGAGCGTGTCTGTAAGAGGGACGGACGTGAGAGAGCTGGGCGCGGCGAGGTCGAGGAATGATACCGGTCAAGACCAAGGCCGGGATCACACGACTCCTGCGCGGGCAGGCAAGACCGCCCGATAGTGGGTGGAGAGCGCAGACCTGGCCACAGATGACGACTACAAGGAGCCTCCCCTGGCGGTCGATAAACATCTAGATAAAAACATAGACCTGATCCTAGGGCAATTTGTGTAATTTCGGCGTCGGGGGGCGGTGCGCACGCGTGTATGGCGGAAACATCCCTTTGTGGGAATGAGCACGTGACCGGGTAGAAGGAGGGTGGTAGCACAAGAACCGTGCCTATATACACCGTTCTCCTCCGTGTCCTCGCGGCGTGTACTCTTGCCCCAGCAAGCAGTGCCGCAGCCATGTCGAGCGAAGCGTCCCAGGTCAACAGCGGGCAGGATAGTGAGTGTTGTTCCTCTTATCTCGTCTAGTGGCCGTTCGGAGGGGCTCGTCCGAGCCGGGGCAGGAAATAAGGCGTTGGAGCGAAACAATTTGACAAGAAATAAGACTTTCGTGCTCCAACCCCACCTGCTCGCGCCTCGCCTCCTCCTAGTTCATATCTGCTTCCCTTTTTGCTTGTTATGTCCATGTCGTCCGCGTCGTTGGACTCGGCGTCGTTGGCGTCCTCCCAGTCGGCGTCGTCTCCGTCGGCGTCGTCCGTATCGGTGTCGTCCTTGTCGGTGTCGACAACTGCTACAAGCTCCGCGGCCAACTCAGGAGTAATTGGTCCGGATTCTTCCACATCTTCCTCCAATCTTGCATCCACCTCTTCCTCCCAATTCATCTCATCCTCGTCCTCTTCTGTAGCCCCCACATTATCCTCATCTTCGGTACGATCAATCTCGAGTACTGACTCCTCCTCTTCCTCCTCATCAGGTTCATCCAGCTCGCCAACCCCATCCAGCACGTCGACAACCACAACCACATCGACAACGCCAACGTCAACCACACATACCTCAACGTCCACTACCCCTACCTCTACCTCCTCCTCCACCACTCCCTCAAGTACACCCACTTCCACTGCTTCCTCAACTCCTATTCCCACGTCAAGTAGTCCTCCACCTAACACTTCTTCGTCTACTTCAAATCCTCCTTCGTCGTCATCGACTCAGGCTGGTGGCTCGGGTAGCTCTGAAACTGGCTCAACAGCAACATCAAGCAGTGCCAATGGATCCTCCTCTCAGGCCACACGCACATCATCATCCCACTCTCTGTCTACCTCGTATTCGACATTCACGTCTACAAGCACCAGCGTGTAAGTCGATAGGCCTTGATGCTCGAGCGTTGTTCTCATCCTGCAAACTTCCAGTTTCACAGATGCTGGAGGCTCTGTCGTCACCTCTGTGCAGACACTGACCGCGACTGCCACGATCACGAGCGGCGCATCCATCGATGCGACAAAGTCAAGCAATCACACCGGCGCCATCGTCGGAGGAGTGGTAGGAGGCGTGGGCGGAGCCCTCGTCCTGCTCGTGCTCCTCTTCTTCCTATGTCGCCGCCATCGCAAACGAGATGACTTTGACGGCAACTTTGACCCCGATCGTGTCGTGGGCCTGTCAGGAGGCCACGGTGTCGACCTTGCAGGCGCCGATGATGTCACGCCATACACATACAGTCCGAGCGCTCCGTCCGCGCCGGGCTCAGGCGCGGGCGCGGGCAACGAGGAGATGCGTCAGCACGGCGATGTCCCAGCCTTCCTGGCCGGCGGCCTCGCTGGCGCAGGTGCAGGCGGTGCGGCAGCAGCAACAGTCAGAGGCAGACAATCCGTGAGCCCACCCGCGACGAGCGCGCCCTCGCAGTACTCGCAGTCTCAGTACGCGCCCACGTCGGAGCAGCACCAAGACTACGCTGGATATAGCAATTACGCAAACCCACAGGGCTACGGCGGGTCCGTGAGCCCCGTACCGGCAGGTTACCCCGACTTCCGCCAGCCATCGCCAGGCCCATCGCTCGCGCAGACGAGCTCGAGCGGGCCGACTGGTTCGGGCGGCGTCGTGCTGCCATCGAATAAGGAGCGCGAGGCAATGGCGCGCCGCGGTGGTATGCAGATTGCGAACCAGGAACCGGCACAGGTCGTGCAGCACCAGGATGGCGGCCGGCTCGACGCGACGGAGGAGGAGGAGAACGTCTCGAACGAGGTCCCCCCACGGTACGACCAGATACCTAGAGATTAGGCGCCATGCTTTGGCTATGTACGTTCCGCGCGGACTGGACTGTAAAGCGGCGTGTTGTTGACTTTTTCCGTTAGATTAAGTTATTTGCGCGCGCTTGCTCTGCGCGCTTCGAGATCATGAAGGATATCCTGCCCGCTCTCGCGTCTCACGTTACTCAGCCGCCGCCGTGCAAAACGACAGTTATGCCCATCGACGATGCTGTATATTATGATGATGGTATCTTACGCTCGCTCGCCGCATGTCCTAATACGCATTTACCATTCTTGCGTCTGTTCGTAGTAGTTAGTACCCCACACACGGACTTGCACGTTTTGAATTCGGATGTGGTGTTGACCACGTGTATTTGCTATCGCTCGTTGAGCACAAGGGACATATGTGAGTCTAATGGATTAACTTAGATCGAATATCGAGCGTGGCGAGTCCGATAACATTCAATATTGTGATCATCGTGTCGATGCAAGAGAGAGCAAAAAGTCCGCGGAGATCCGTATCCACTACAGTACAGAGCATCAGTAAAGTATTGGGAAGCATTCTGTCCGTGTCCGTGTCCAGCAAGTACTAAGCACTGGGAGGAAGCGTCTGAACAGCAAGTAACACATGAAAAGATATTGAATCCTTAGCATAAACTACGCATCGGGTGCAAGCAAGTCAATATGGCGGAGACCGATGTCTACAGCGCCTCTCCCATGGGATAGGTACCCGTATCCTCATCCTGAAATGTTCTCGTCTGCGGTGCGAGCTTGCTCGTCTGGCGCGGCGGGCTGCTAACCGACGCCGTCTCGGAACCCATATTCGTCACAAACAACGGACTGCGCCACGTCGGCTTCGGCGAATCCGGCGCGCTCGACAGCAGTGCCGTCTGCGAGTCTGAACGCCCATGTCCCGAGGATGCGGCCGCCTGAGAGCTTGATGGGGCTTGTGCGGGGCCCATAACGTCATCGACGATGCGGGAGAGGCTTTCGCGCGAGGAGGTGTTGAGCGGGTCGATGAGCCCGGCTCTGGGCGGTGGCCAGACGGCCTCTTGGAAGATGGATCCGGACTCGGAGGTGCGCATGCCCATGAGGTGCGGCGATGGGATGCGCGCCATCTGCGGGCCCGCGTTGGGGTCAAGCGGGGGGCCATTGAGCGATCCGGAGTAGTACGATGCGGTGCGCGAGGAAGGCCCGGGGAAGTCCGAGTAGCTGCGCATGGTGGGCGGGAGATCGTAGTCGTCCATGTCCTCGCCCGCGAGGAGCATGTTGCGCGGTGTTTTGTCCTTGCGCCGGAAGAAGTTGAGCTTCTTGTGCTGGTGGCGGCGGTAGAAGAGGATCATCGCGAGTGCGAGCGCGAGGAAGGCGGCGACGCCGCTGACGCTGCCTGCGATGATCGCTTTGTTGGTTGCGGAGGAGGTGGTTGAGGTCGGCGCACTGAGTGTCGTGGGGATGAGCGAGAATGTCTGGGCGAAGGGTGAGTGTGGTTGAGCGAGGGCTGTATTGGGTGATACTTACTGATACTGCTGAGCCGTTGATAGTGGTGACGAACGATGAAGTGATTGTGGTCTGTATTTCACCTTTGATAGAGCTGGCGGACGTCGTCGATGAAGCTGTGCTAGTTGGCTGCTGCGGATCGGAGGTGCTGGCCGTGTTTGATGTTGAAGCTGCAGTTTGCGTCGGCGGCGAAGATATATTAGACGGCGATGGCTGCGAAGATGAGGAGCTCGTGGTATGAGCTGAGGTGGAAGCTGAAGCATTTGTAGATGAAGATGTCGGCGGATCCGAGGAGGTTGTATATGTAGAAGATGTTGTTGGAGGTGGCGAAGAAGAGGATGATGTCGTTGACTGCGGACTCGAACTGATGGATCTGCGCACTCATTTGTACGGAAATTCAGCAGAAACAAGAAAGACGCGTACGTTGAAGTGCTCGTCGATGTACTGCTCGGTGTACTGGTGGCGGTATCGCTTGAAGAAGTGGACGTACTGGTTGTTTCGCTCGACGAGGTTGAAGAGCTTGCTTGCGGTGCCGGAGACGAAGACGACGTTTCAGGTGGGCTTTCACTCGAGGTCGAAACAGGTGAGGAGGTAGATGCGGGTCCAGAGGTATCGGTACTAGGGGGTTGCTGTGCACTTCCCGTAGCGGACGAGCCTGAGGAGCCGCTTGCGCTGGAATCCGCAGACTCTGACTGTCTCGCGGCCAGCCTACCCTGATATAAGAGTGGGGGTATGAGCTTCGAGGTCATCAGTTGATGAAGTAGACCTCGTACCATCGCCGCTCCTCTGTCGACTGCCTGAAGATGCATTGTACTTGGAACAACCCACGTGTCGTCACGCCGTCGTGCGCAGTTTCAAAAAACTTACTCCTCAAGGATACCAGGACAGGACGCCAATCGAGTTAGACGGGCAACCTTATAATGAGGTGCGCAGGATCATGGCAAGGCTGTATCGCTAGAACCGTTGCAGCGCCGCCACTCCTCGACTTTTTCCGTCACGTGCGCCCCGACATACGGTGGCGGGCGTCCCGCCCAACGTCGAGCTTTCTCCGCGTTGCCCGTTGATTCATATCGTTGACTCTTCCAACCTTTGCATGTCTTTCCTTTCGTACATGCGTGTTTCGTGGTGCCTATACGGTAGCAAGTGCTCCGTGTCCGCTGTTGTCTTGAAAGCAACTTGTTGGCAGAGAATATTGTCTGATGCCTCCCCGCCGCATGTGAACGTTTAGCAGCACGCGAGGATAGCATGCCTTATCATGATCGCAGCGCATGTCTGTCAGTGTAGCGATACTGCAATCTCACGTGCGATCCTGAGCTATCGCCACCACTCTTGCTGCAATGTCCTTCAACGTCCTGCTCATAGGCGCAGGGGAGATCAATTTCGGTTCGTCCACCTTGTCCTGTATTGTGAATCACCAGCCCCATGCCAGCAATCGTAGGCTCTGTCGAGGGTCCGTGGAATCATGTTCGTGAATCGTCTCAGTGCAGTTATTGCGCGCGAACTCTAATCAGTCACGATGGCTAGACTTTACGGCTCGAACGGTCAATGGATCTGTGCAGGATTTCCTATTGTGATATTCACCAACTCTCCAGGAAACTCGGGTCAAACCTCAAGGTCTTATGCTTGATTGATCCGGACACAGACCGTGCAGCCGCACAGCTCAAGACCAAGCTATCTGGTCCTGCCGCTTCTGCATACGCCGATTGTAAGATCTTTTCGACAGTGAGTGAAGCCGCGAACGCCTTGCCCGAGACCCCCCAGTGAGCACAAACGAACGGTCCATCGCTGTCATGTCTAACAAGCGAAACGTCAGGCTCGCCATCGTGGGTGTCCCGCCCTTTGTCCGCGGGAGCGACGCGCCAGGCAGCGACCTGGAGCTGCAGCTCGTGCGTGCGTTTTCCAGCTGTGCTCTCTTTGTGGAGAAGCCAGTCAGCTGTGGGCCCGCCGACGCATGCTGGCGTGTGGCTGCCGAGCTGCAGAAGCGCCAAGTCCTTGTCACCGTAGGATACATGCTACGATACTCTGCAGGTAGGCTGTAGACGTAAGTTTTCATCCGATAATATAAATGTCTCGCAGCGGTGCAGATGATGAAGTGAGTGTACGAGCTCCGCTGATTTTGTGCAGGGTGGACTGATTCCAACCGTGATGCGACACTTAGGCGGATCATTCAAGAGAATAACCTCATTGTAATGGGCACCAATGCAAGATACGTGATGGCTTAGTATGATTGCATGTTCCACACTGCCCGCAGTGATCATGACATACACTCAGCGAATACGCAAGGAAACTCGTGAGAAACGCGTTCCTTTGATTCACATGGCAAACTAACATCATATAATCAGTCTTGGTGGAACAAAGCATCTTCGGGCGGCCGTAAGTTTCTCCAAAATGCATTCCAACGAAGCATCAAGCAATTCATATTTTTTGATAGCCATTGTGGAACAAGCGACACACTTCTGTACATCAACTTATCTGCTCTGTCTACCTAAACCCGCAGATTCAGTTGTTTCTATATTGCAGGTGATCTTTCCCGATATTTCGGCGGGGATGTCTCGCTCCCGTCCGTCACAGCGCACACGGTCGAGCATTATGAGCCGCCTGGTCACCTCAAAGCGCAGCGGTTCGACGAGAGCCTGGTCCCTCCCGAGAACAGGCTCCCCCGCCTGACCAACGCATCATGGAAGTACACGAATGGAGCGGTTGGGTCGCTGACGCATGTCATCGCTCTGCACGGTCTGCGCTGTCTCTTCACCGTCGAAATGAAACGATGCTGAGAAGATGTAGGAACCACATATGACACCGAGTTTGAGATCTATGCGGATGGGTACCGGCTCAAATTGATGGACCCATACAACAACCCCGTGTTGTCTGTCCGCCGACCAGGTATAGAAACAGAAGGTATGCTAGCAATCCGATTTCAGTGTGCACGGCGAGTTAAAAATTGTGTGCGTCCGGCAGAAATTATTCACTTCCCAGAGGTATGTCCCATATTTGCACAGACGTGCATTGCACCCACTGTCGTCGAACTCAGGACGATCCATTCTACTCCGAGCTATCAACAATCGTCGACGAAGTGCAGCAGTCGCCGAGACGCGCTGCGATACTCAGCACGTACCAGGATGCCGTCAAGACATACGAATTCGTACGTGTTCTCGTTTTCGTACGTTGTACGTTGTCAGACGCTCATAGCGCACCGCGGATGATAGACATGGTGTATCCGCCGGGCTGGAGAGCACTCTGCTCGCACGCAGCAGCAGAGTAATGCGACAAAATAGGCTTCGTGATGACGGTAGAAAAGTCAAATAGGAGACATAGAACATATCTCTCAGTCATGATCCGGCAACATAGCGGTGATGATCAAAATCGCACAAATAGGTTAAACAGGCTAGCTTATCGCACTCAATCTACCTTTCTCGCCCACTTCCGGCCCGCAGGCTGCCTCATCGAGGGTGACTGCGGAGGGACGACCACCTCGACCTTGGGGCTCTCCGGCTGCCAGTGTCTATCCTTCTCCGTGATGCCTATCGTCGGCACGCGAGCCAGGTCTTCTTTCACATCCGCGCCCCAGTACATCCACAGCTGTGCGCCTACGACGCAGTTCAGCAGGAGCGCGAGCGCGAAGCCGGCGCTCACGAGCGGATCGCCGACCTCCGTGGCAGTGGTGAAGAGGCGCGCGAGGCAGCCGCCGATCTGCGAGATGACGGCGAACGCTGAGAGCTGCCCGGTACTCTTTGTGCGATAGTTCTGCTGGATTTGGGGAAACTTGGAGAAGAGCGAGAGAGGGAGCGTGGCCAGCTGCAGAGGAGCCAGGGTGGTCGTCGGCAGGTAGAAGAGTGAAATGGCGACGGCAAGCGTGGAGAGTATGGCGATGCCCAGGCGGTGCGTGGATGGCTTATTCCGCGTCAACCGGGGGGAGGAAGGATAGTAGATTATGAGGAACGTTATGATGACATTTTGAATGGTGAGAAAGAGGTTCTCGCCGTAGGTCGAGAAGGGGAAATGGTTGCGATAGGAATAAGCGAGGGTAATCGCATACGAGAGTGTTTCCAGGACATATGCGGTCAACGACAGGCCACGAGCAGAACGCGCCGACACAACTGCGACAAGTCAGCTTTTCTGGGTGCAGCATGGTACCACGGGACTCACTGAGGACTAATTGGGGCACTTTCATGATGGAGCCTCCTATGACAATGCCAACGCCCAGCCCCTTAGAAAGAGAATACTTCAAGCACTCGACGTCGGCAAAATCCAAATCCTCGACGAGCAACGTGTAGCATTTCTTGCAAACACTCGTAAACTACAGCCCAAAAGGTGCGTTTCCCTCCGACTCACCTCGCCAACGACAGCCACTCCGAGGTCTTTGATGAACCAAGGAAGATTGCGCGTAATAGTTGTCATTTCGAGGTGGGAGAGATGGTGGTAATGGGCAGCAGCTTACTCGTGGTCGCGTACGTGTCTGTTCACCACGCGTAGGCGCCCGTCGACGCGCCCACTGCATTTACCAATCTGGAAGGACGAATTTTCTGCCTTGAACGCACTCGCTCCTCTTCCGACCAACGTCGCCATTATCCTCCGCCATGGCCGAGTACGACCTCACGAGGACCGTCATTCCATACTGCGATCGCCATCTGGTATTTCCGCTCCTCGCCCACCTTGTCGAGAGCGAGCTTTTCCCGGTCGAGGACGTGCAGGCAGCCCAGTATGAACTTGCGAAGGAGACGAACATGGTGGACTATGCTGTGAGCTTGTTCCAGCAGCTGTACCCAGACCAGGAGGTCCCAGAAGGTGAATCCTGCGTCTAGTCCTTTTGGATCATATTGAACTCTCGCAGAGTTCGCCGAGAAGCGCGAGAAGGCAGTTTCGACAAATGAACGTTTGCAGCTGGAGGCGCAGGCGGTATTGAATGTCATTGAAAATCCAGAGGTCGCACAATCTCTGCGACAAGACAAGAACCAGAACCTCCATTATCTGAAGGATCATTACGGTGTATGCCGTTTTTGCTAACCCCTCGAATTTTGCTGACCCGCAGTTGGTAGGTCACCCTCGAACAAATTAATGCCCTGTACAACTTCGGACAATTCCAATACACCTATGGCAACTACAGCGGTGCCGCCGACTACCTATACCACTTCCGCGTGCTCTCCACCGATCCCGACCTCACCATTTCCGCCCACTGGGGAAAGCTCGCATGTGACATTCTTACCGGCAAGTGGGACGTTGCGCTCGAGGAGCTCAACAGCCTTCGTGAGGCAATTGACTCACGCTCGCCCGTCGTCCCCGCATTCGCGACCGCTCCCTCGTCGACGACGACCGACCCCGCGCTCACGCAGCTGCACTCGCGGACCTGGCTGCTGCACTGGTCGCTCTTCGTATACTTCAATCACCCTCAGGGACGCACACTCCTCCTCGAGACATTCCTTTCACCCACATATCTCAACACAATCCAGACGTCATGTCCGTGGGTTCTGCGCTACCTCGTCAGCGCTGCCGTGCTCTCGCGAAAATCCGCATCGGGCGCGTCATCCTCTCGCGTGCGCAACTCTATCCGCGAGATCGTCAAGGTCATCCAGATGGAGGAGTACCAGTACGAGGACCCCATCACTGCATTCTTAAAAGAGCTCTATGTCGAGTTTGACTTTGAGGCGGCGCAGCGGGAACTCAGCCTAGCGGAACAGGTCGCAGCAAATGACTTCTTCCTGGGCGAGTTCCGGGACGAGTTCATGGACAATGCGCGTTATCTGATCAGTGAGGCGTACTGCCGAATTCACCAGAGGATCGATATCAGGTTCGTCGACGAGCTGGTTTGTAGAGCCTCCTGTCACCGATATCTTCCCGCAGCGATCTTTCGGAACGGCTCAATCTCTCAAAGGATGAGGGTGAAAAGTGGATCGTCAACCTCATTCGCGACACCCGAATGGGTGCCGATGCGAAGATCGATCTCGAAAAGGTGACGATTGCCTTGGTATTGTCGCGTGTTCCGTCGACTCAATGCCATTGCCGCAGAATGTCATCGAAATCAACCGCCCGTCCCTCCCCGTGTATCAATCTGTCATTGAGAAGACGCGGGGACTGGCATTCCGCACACAAGCGCTCGGGGCGGCTATGTCTCGAACGCAGCAGGCGCCGCCGCTAGGCGTGCAGGACGAGAGTCAGCCGATAGTCATCGAGGGTGCGCGGTGAGTCGCAGGGTAAGACTATGTGGACGCTTGTGTATTGCTTGATATTGGGAATATCGCGAGGCAATATAAAGTTGTTCACTTTGCTCTTAACCGTCCCCTTCTGGAGTCCAGGATCGTCTGAAGGCCGCACTGGAGATGTTTAGGGACGGTCGGAGCAATGGGCCTGCTGGAATCAGAATGCATGTGGCAGTATGGAAGAACAGTGAGCCTCCCGTTTGAGTACAAGCGGCTAATAGCTGTTTGGCCGCCTGGATCAGGCTCCTCGACACGTTCGCACGGGGCGAGTTTATGTCGCCCAGTAGTAGGTTTGACGGCATGATCGACTACGCTGCTCATGACAATAGACCGCCGCGGCGGCGGGTGAGGCGAGGCGAGGCGACAGTTGGACTAGCTCTCAAGCGCCCGATGGCTGTATATAGCGTCTCAGTCCGATATCATTTCGAACAAGCTCACAACGCGCAATGCTATGATACAGGCATTGACACTCTTCGCAGGCATCGCTCTTACAAAAATGACAATTATGAGAGCACATTAGCACGCCTTAGCCACAGGTCGATATGGTGGGGCGGCGTCATTGATGTTTATGTTTGCCAATACACCATCTCTATCGACAAATTTGCGCTTCTTCACCGAATTCGTCGATTCGTCAGTGACCTCCAAAGCGGCCTTCTTCCGAGGTTCGGGTCCCTCTTGCCTGTCCTCTTTCAGCCTGTTTCCAATGCCAATTCCCTCGTCAATGCTTCCGCGGTGACTTCGAAGGCATTCGCGGTGATGGTCCGCAGTCTTGCTCCTCCGGATCGCTGTTGTTGGTGCTGCAAAGCTGTATGGTCGCATATTCCTCGTCATATGTTGCAGGCGAAGGCACGAGATCGAACATCGACAACTGCTAGAAAGCAGGTGTGGAGGAAAGATCAGTCAACATGCATGTCTCAACTCCTAGAAATCTGTTACGCACCCTACGATTCCTTTCAGGCGCTATCCATTTCACGTCTCCAAAGGGTGAATGGAACTCTGGCAGCCAACGGTGCTAAATGATCGTGAACATCTATGAAGATGGTGAAAGGTGCGAACCTTAGGCGACATTGTTAGCGTCCCATTTCCGCTTTCGACTGAAGCCTTCGCATCCGACGTTCGCAGAGACTTCGCGTATGCTCGACCCATTCAACGACCGTTCCCTGTGCTGATGACATTCTTGACTGAAGCGTTCGCGTTCACATTCGCATCCATCGTAGGTTCGTCACGAATGTGATGCTGCGGTACTGCAGCACTCGAACTGTAATATCAAGTCGGTGCACATGATTGTTAGTGTACCGAAGGAAGGGGCCAATGTAGATGGACGCACTTTTTTCAATCTCTCCCCACTCCTTGAAATGCCTCCTCACAACCTCCTCCGTCTCCATGTCTGTGCCCGTCTCCTTGATCCGCCCAATATATAGCATGCGGTTCTGCCTCTGAAAGCTACCCACACCACCCATATCATCTCGATAGTCTGCGAACTTGTCGCATGCAAAGCAGTCCTTCGACATGTCCGGCAGTGTGGTCGATGGGTCCATGAGCATATGCAGATACTCGCATTCCCAGCCATACAGACAGCATCTCCACACAAAAAAGGGACAACAGTACTTCACACCCGTCATGTTCGCGCGTGATGTTGCAACGCGTCTGCGACTTGACCTTGCTGAACGAAAGCAGGCGTTAGGGAAAGCCGTCACGAACGACTTTGCAACAAAACATACTTTGAATAACTATCCTCACGGTCCCCACCAGCCCATTTATTGTACCAAATGTCTGCAGAGCTTATGAGCCATAGTGAAGGAGCAGAGGTTGAATGTACGCACTGTACTCTTTCCCAGTTTGAGGCACCTCCTTCTTCTCCACTTCACCAGCTTTCACCAGCTTTCACCTGCTTGCACGCAGGCTTCAGTTTCGCGTGTCAGGGTGTGTTGCGAGGATGTAGAAGACGCGCGCGATGGCGACGGTGGTCGTCTCGAATGCCTCAAAGATGCTGCCCAAGCGCCGGTCAGTCTGGCATCGCTGGCATGGTGCGGCAGTGCTCACTTCATCTGTCAGAGGAGCTCGACCTCAGTGAGTCGGTCGGCATCCGAGGAGGACGAACTTGCCTTCACTGGTTGGGGAGTTCAGTGTGGATGGTGAGTGGCGGAGAAGGGACGCACGCACGATGCTTATGAGCGGACCAAGGTCAGCGCCCGCAAGTGCACCCTTCGTGGCGCGCCCATCCATTGCAGCCTTCTTCTCTGCATAAATGGTGTTGCTAACACTGTCGAGTGTGCCCACGATTTCGCGCATCTCAAGTAGGGCTGGTATGGGCATCCAGTCGATGAGGGCGTTGCACCAGCTGAGGGGCAGGCTGCATATGATGCGTGGGATAAATGGGTGGAGCATGATGATGCGCATCGCTGTCGGGCTTCCACCGTGTATCGACCCATTATGTGACCGATATGAGTCTCACTCCCTCCCTCCTCCTTCGCCGCAGAGACTTCGCCTGTGCTGGGTGATGCGACCCGTTAAGTGACCGACGTGAGTAGTGCTCCCTGCGCTGACGATTCCTCATTTTTGTATCCATCCTTTCTCTCTAATTTGAGACAGGTCATAACACGATCGTGATGTAGTTGTCAATAGTCATGAATGGTCATTCTAAACAAGTCTACGCTAACGTCCACGGCTAACGTCCACGCTAAGTCTACACAAGTCTACACTATGTTGAGTCCATTAGATGCTACATTATTACACTAAGGTGCGTGCACAAAGAAAGCCTAGGAGGTGGAGCAGAAGTGAGAGAGAAGAGGCGCCCGTAGCAGATCTGCGGGTAATTCAAGGCCTCCAGTTTAGGGCCAGTCTGATGGGATCTTTGATGGAGCGCCCACTGTCTATTTGAGATGCAGCCACTGCTGCGGTGGCATGGGTGCCCACTGCCGATTTGAGATGCAGCCACTGCTGCAGTGGCATGGGTGCCCACTGCCGATTTGAGATGCAGCCACTGCTGCGGTGGCATGGGTGCCCACTGCCTATTTGAGATGCAGCCACTGCTGTGCGCACATCTAAACCGCATCCAATTTAAAGAAAAATAAAGCTCGAAGAAATCATAGACCAACCACAGAGTCGAACCTGCACTGATAGCCATGTTAGGTTTCATTGTTTAAGAACAAGAACATATTAGAACGGCACCTGGAGCAGGTTCTGCACTCTACCTTCTTTGACAACACTTGTATGCATCAGTCTCGCGAAGACAGCTCTGAAAATCCAACTTACATGATGAAGAGGACGATAGCCGTCATGCTGCAAGCTGGTGTAGGGACCATCAATAGAGAAATCAGATTATGTTTTAGATGTACCGGTATCCATGATTACATTGGTACTGTCCATGCCAGCTGTTCGTATCCATGCGCTGTGATGTTTCAGGATGGATGAAATAGCACGAACAATGCACAGAAAGCTCTCATGAGAACTTGCGACCACTGAGCTCAGCATAGAGCACGTCGCTGTCCGCACGCTTGCGTCTGACCCGCCTCCTGTTGTAGTGATTTGAGATGAGGAATGCGACATCTGGTTTATTTGATCAGTGTACACATCCAGACCTTTCGGGGACTGCCACTGGACTTACCCAATGATTGCTCAAAGTTCAGGCGAGAATCGCAGAACGACTGGACCGAACACAATGTCAATGTGCATCACCCTGCACACATCGCACCACAATGCACCTGGTGAGCTCCATGCTACCCCCCAGGCACTCAGTGACACTGAACCCATCCTCGCTCAGCTCTCCGGTGAACTCGAAGCTCACGCCGTTCATGTGCGAGTTGCACTCAGCGTGGATTCGCATACATGTGGTCAGCTCGCTGTTGATCGTGCCGAAATTGCACGTCTTGAGCCCGCTCGAGGAAGTCAGTGTGCTACGTGGTGTGTCACGTCAGTCGGGTGTTCAAAGTTCATGTGAAAAAAACCGTGGAACGTACTTGCCGAGCATGGGATCACAGATCCAAGCAACGGGATGTCCGCATAGCTGCACACTATTGATGTGGCCGGCTAAGTGACTCTCGATCTTCATATACTCCGTCAATATATGCGCTGTCTTTTCGCGCATTCTGCTCACCTTCGCCGCACCATAGCAAGTGATCAGCATAACCTTGCCCGCTTTCCGGTTTGGGCTCCGACTAGCATCGTACAACCATCAACAACCATGTCAGCATTCATGCATGCTTGACAACTCACTGTCGAGTAGCCGGACGAGCTCATCTGCAGCCATGCTAGGCCCCACCTTAATCCAGATTGGTTCCTGATCCCGCGGAAGTACTCAACATGCACGCCATTCAGCTGTCTTGTTCTGTCTCCAATCCAGAGGAAGTGCGTGGACGTGTTGTAGTACACGTTCAGCGGGAGCAGCTCACTCGGCATATCATCGCGGTGCATCGAGAAGAGGGAGGACAGGATGGGGAATTCATGCGTCATCGCTTCTTCGAAGTCCAACAAGAGGCCTTCGTGGCTGCGCCTTGGTGTAGGTGAAGGGAGCACCACGATTTGAAGGGGCAACATACCTGGTGAAGAAGTCCCGCCTCTCTCAGCACGCCCCAGCCACCACCCTGCTCGTAACTCGTATGCTGGCTGCTGAGTCCAGTAGTTCGAGTGAAGTCAAGAGCGTCCAATAAGCCTTCTGTGATGCGTTTGAACTCTTCTCTACAGAGTATTGTCAGATCGGATAGCCAAAGAAAATTGAGAAAGACACTAACCACAGTTCTGGTGATCATACATGCGACAGAGACGAGTCTCATGGATGGTACAACGAAGCAAACCCTGAGGTGAGCAGGCCGTGCACATAGTTGAGTGTCGTTGTTGAGTGGAAGTATGTAACATTTGAGAACATGAATAGCCTGACCGTGCACCCACAGATGCACATACCCTTGAGGCTTCATGACTTGTAAGACTTGACCAACTCCCTCGTGATGAGCTGACCATTCACAAAGCAGTGCACGCTCATATCGGTCGCCGACTTGTTCCCAAACCGGATCTTGAATTTCTGAAACATAGTCATTCGTGAGCTGTAAAAAGCTGCCTGTCGTTTCGATGCCTGCTCACCCATCTGGCCTCACTGGGGATGTAGCAGCTCATCATGGCATCACTCTCCTGCGTGATCCCTACTCGGTCAACTTCTCATTTTCATCAACGATCACTAGTTGGCAATCACGCATATGCATATTGAGATGATGGTCGATGAAAGTGGGAAGACGTGCGAGGTGAAGGGGGAAAGTGCGACTGTCGCTATCAGCTCAACAGCGTGTCCTAACGAGCAGCGGCTGAAGCAAGTGCTCCACCGCCTCCAACAACCTATGCGAATCTAAAGATGGCACCCATTCCACGTCCACGATACCACTGCCCGCTCGCACTTTCTCTAAGGGATGCAAAGCCTTGCATGAGATTCCATTGCTCAATTCCATTGCTCTGACAGCCCGCATTCTAAACTGGAAATTAACCCCTCAACCCAAAGCCATCTTCATGGTACATTCTAACAACCCAGACAGCGGAGCCCAACTCATGTCTCACTCAGAGCTCGCCGCTGCTTTCTTCTTCAAAGTGGCTGACTTGTTCTTTAGATATACACGCAGGAGGTCAGCACTTGCCCAATTCCCTTCGTATCTGGTGAGAAATGGATATTCTTCTGCTGCCTGCGGATAGAGTTCTTAATTTACTATGCATGAATTCACTTGGCAAACCACAAACTGATGCATAGACAACTTGGAGCTCACTGATGTCTTGCCTTGAAAATGGTAGCTGCATCTGCAAATGTGTGTCTGCAAGCTTGTGAATTGTACTCTGTTGGATAGTCAATTTCCAAATTGCATGTTCATAGAGTGATTATGACAACAATGTACGCACCTGTACAATGTTATAGATTGAATCTTTCCAGTGCAGCACTTCGCGCAAGTTGTAGCCATCACGACCAATTCATGTCACTTCTCCATTGGGCTTGAGGATCATTTCCGTGGAACTGAGGAGTACAGCCATGGCGTTGGGGATTATTTTCATGGAACTGAGGAGAACAGCCATGGTGGCAGTGGGAGAAATTGCCTCTGGAGCAAAAACACGTCAGCCAGGAGATGGACAAAGTGGAAATAGCCTTTCAGGAGAAAAAAGGACACACATAGTATGCGGGAGATATTGATGCTGAATGCGGTGCTGTGGCCTGACAGGATGCATGTGCAGCTATGCGATTATGTGATTATGCGACCAACGCTGTGGAAGACTATAAGGTTATGAGGGTTGCAGAATTTAATAGAATCTTCGACAAAACAGACAATAAGCCCTTGTCCGACAATTAGGTGACATAGACAATCGGCAACCTTGAACACTCAATTGTCCAGCATCAAACAATAGACCTGATGCCCAAGCTCATCCCTGGACAGCTCCATTGGTGAGTCTGTGAGCTCCAGGTGCATCTAGCGGATGTCTGCATTCCAGGCTTAAGTGGGTGATATGTCAATGATATAGGCCTATCCTTGTTATGAATGTCACTGGACGTGCATGATGGCATGCACTCCGGATTCCGCAGAATGAATTTTTCGCCGCCATCAGCTAGGTTCGGCGTCCCTCCAACGATTCAACATAGCAACCTTGCAAGAGTTATGTTCCATGCATGGACTTCTTGTTGTCCCAACTGGCAGCAGAGTTATTGCAGGTGAACGACAGAGGCTAAAAGCAGATTATATACGGGCTCTCCTTGATGAAGTAAGTGAGGTACGTACATGGAATGTATGTTCCGCAGTACTCAAGTCTCGTCAAGCATGCTTCGCAGGCTGCAGACACAGTCAGCACTGGCTCTACTGGCTCTATCATCAAGGCCTCCACAGGACCATCTACGAGAAAGCGGTGAGCAGCGGACGATTTTACAGTAGATTCTCGCAAGAAACCGCGGGTGGAACGGTCATTAACGGAGCGCAAATCAGAAACTCCATTACATGGGGTATGGTCCACGTTCCATATAGCTATTTTTTGACATTGACCCTGTCCCACATCCCACAGGCTCCATCAGTAATGAGAGAAATACAGGACATGTCTCAGCAAAAATGGGTGATTGAAACTGAGCCCTCACGTGGTTCTGTCAAATGCATTCACCTCGATAGCGCAGATACACAACATCACATCCCCGTCAGTGTTGAGGATCTGTCAGACAGGTTCACCAGGGCCATGGGAGTCTCCAAGCCAATTCCACCAGATGTCTCAAATGGACACGGCACCATGTTCAAGAAATCACGCCCTCTCTGTCGAGAGATGCTGATCAAGGTGTATGAAAATGCTAAAGATTGGAATGCTATATGAGAGATCACCTTCCATTGCCTTCCAAGCGGCGATATGGATCTCAAAACCTTGGGCTGTTATATGGGTGCACCGAGTGGCTGCCAAGTGAGTGAATCTACCATCTATTCACTATACGCTGAAATGAGCAAACACTCACAGGTCATTGATCCGAAGAATTTTAAGCCCTTTCATGAGTACTGTGAGGGTATTCTAGAGCACGATGATTTGAAGGACTTGATGAGCGATGAATATCTGCGGGTAACAAGTTGAGTCATCATTCTGTCGACCCTCATCATTTTGTTGATGATTCTAACTCTGCTAATGATTCCAGCCCATAAGGGATAAGCTAAGTGACGTAAATAGGCTTCAATAGACAGCACCAATCTGGCGACGTAGACAGTGAAGATATCGTGAATTGCGCAATAAATCTGTGTACAGTTCCTGCGATGCTGGGTAGAAACACAACATCCGATTTGGTCAATTGAAAGTGCAGGATCGCCAAGCCAAAGTTGTTTCACAGCTTCATAGCATCTGTCGCTTTGCGCGTCTGTCCGGTGTCAATAACGCTCTGCAGGGGTGATCAAGTAGGCACGATCGTTCGAAGGTAGAAAGCAGTGAAGCATTCATCTGGGACAATCTGTTGCCATGTGTATCCCTCATCACTAGATTGCCAGATCATGTTATCAGACAAGCGAACAAGGATGGACTGAATGAGCGATCATCTTCCGCGATCACGAGACAACTGCTCACACTTTTGAAGTATGTGAATTGTACCACAGGGGCTTGAAATATGAACTGCCAGGTGACTCCATCGCTACCTACCATCTGGTGTATGATCTTGCCCTCCACTGGCTCAGCTGAACGAAGTCCGTATTAGATCACGCAGTATCAAATAGTGCAGGACATACCATTCAAAGACAGTTTCGAAGACGGTTCTTCAACGGGTTCGTCCTTCATGCTCCTTTAGTTCTATCACATGTTTTGCCGGAAATCAATCGATAGGCAGAAGTGCCATTGTAGTCTGGTCCAGCTGATCTTGGAGGGCATACACCTGCAGGTATGGGAAGTTCCAGCCCAACGGATATGCACACATCACCTTGGTGCATGAAATTGTAGTCGCTGAAGCCGACTGGCAGGTAAGAATACTGAGCATGGCTGTGAAAAAAAGATGAAGATCGACCAGCCATTCGTAATCCTCATCCATGCACTAGACAGTCTTCCCTCATGCTCAATTGGTCTGCGAAAAATGTATGTACATACTACACAAATGCGTAAATCAAATGCTCCTTCTCAACCATTATCTTCGGCAGCTCATCCGATAATGCATCATGAAATGGCATCAGCTCAAGGAGCCCATCGACCTCCACTGAAACGAGAGCTACGGTGCCTATATTGGCACCTGTGATTACCAACACTGTCTTCAACACCTGCAGAAACATGGCGCGCTTTCAAAAATTTTGCCGGTACAGCCAGAATCTCAGCTCACTTCCTTCGCCCATAGGCTTTGACACGTATGCAATCGGTATTGCTCTCAATCGGCTCTTCGAGACAGACAGTGACCCCTTCATCCTCATATTGTCCTTGCTCCCATTGGGCTTCAGGAGATGTGCCTTTCGTGTTGCAGATCATGAGCGTAAGTCGCTTCAAAATTGGCAACATTTGCTGCACCCGCAGGTGAAAAAGAAACAATGCATTGTCCTGTGGATCTGAGGTTGAGAGTCAGTGAGACTCGAATATAAGCACAAGAAATTATTTAGCTTACATAAAGTGAGTGCAGCATATTGGTCCATTGGATTGTCCCCAGTTGACGATGGGTCCCTTGATGATGGGTCCCATGCAGCAGCCAGAGGTTTATTAGATTAATCATCCGAAGTGTCCGGTACCCAAGGCGGTGTAGCAGAACTGAGAGGAGCTCACGTGGTTGATGTGGCTGATGTCATTGACGTGTCCTGACTAGCTGATGGAATGCCAGATGATGACGGAATGCTGGATGTTGCATAACCCAATGGCAGAGTATCTTGTTGATCGCTGCAATGAAATGGTCGTGAATATTGAGATGAGGAGCATTCTGGCTAGCCCGAACCTCAAATATCTGAACTCGCTGGGCTTCAGCCACACTACGACACCCCTCGGAGCATCCAGCTCCATTTGATATGCGTCGTTGTATTCATCTTTGATGAACCCTTTGTGCGCTTTGTATTGTCCCCAGCTGATCATTGCACGCTTCAATACAAAATGCTGATATGTTGCACGATTCTTTCTATGGGCCTTTGACAACAAATGAACAGCTGGCTGTCGACGAGAACTGTCGCCGCTTGCTTCGACTGAGTGTTGTGGCAACCAATTGTATTGGAGCACCCAACTGGACATTCTCACTTCGGTATCCTGCACCGCAACCTGGAAAACATGATTCATCAATGTTTCATCTCGCTCGCACTGCGGACTCACCTCACGTCATTCACGATCATCGTATATCAGCAGCGTCTCGTCGCCCGCAGACATGATGAAGCCCCTCATACCTCTGTTCACACCGTCAACGATGTCTAACAAATCGCCCTGTTTATAGACCCTTCTGAGCTGCTGAACGGCCACGGTAGCAACCTGAGATTGACTGGGACCGTACGCTACTTCAACGGACTCATCTGTGATGCTCTGTATGATTTCTTCGATGCCTTGCAGCTCCCCCTCAGTGACACGAACGTGATCATTGATTGCAAGGCTGGTGAAGTAAACCCGCTGCATAATTTGTGCAATGGACATAGGCGAGATCCAATGCAGACAGATAAATGGTGCGATTTTGTCGAGTAACCTCAGCTGTTCCACCTTGCATGACACACAGAGAGGTCCGTCTTTGAATAATTTCTTCTTGAACATGTACATCTTCATTTCATTATCTTGACCAGGCATCTGCTCCTGAACAGTATGAGAACCATAGACCACAGCAGCGAGGACAGGGTTGAACACGCATGGGGAACACCTCAGTGCAGGATGCTTTGCACGATGCTTTGAATATGATATGTGCAGCAGAAGCTATACAATGACGCATTCTTCCTTCACTTCCTCGACGTACGCGAGATCACTGGAGTAATGTCCACATCGAATGTGAACCCAGCTACCCGTCTCGATACCAGGTGCAATTCAAAAAAGACTCGTTCATTCATCGGATGGCATGAACATTGCTGGCGTACCAAGGATCAGATGGGATACCGTGGAAGAAATCTTCAAATTGTCATGCATGCTCTTAGCTTCGACATAGATTCTATCGGCCTCATCGATGCAGGACCAATTCTCTGAGACAAAGATGAAGTACACGGAATGACTCCGTGGCTCATCGATGGCATTCTGATCTTCATCTTGATCTGCCAATGACTGGTATAGCATGATCAGAACAGTGAGAGCCGAGTTCCACTTTAGAAAATGCATCAATAACCAATCCCCAGGACAGCATGAAACTTACCTTGGTACGAAGCATCCAGATCCCACGGCAGTGCTCATTGGGCAAAGGAGGATGTTCTTCGGCCTCCACAGCATGATCGTGACTTGCACTCTCCCTACCCCTATGAGCCCTTTCCTGATATTGATGTGCCAATTCCACCACGTCGTCATCATCCTCATCGTCCTCACGAGCCATCACTGAATATAAGAGATGCATTGCGATATCGTCCCCTGCTGCCTCGCCTTGAAAAATGACCATGAAATGGTTAAAAACAATCACTGGATGAGGCAACTAACTACTCACCTACTTCAACCTCATCATCTTCAGCCTTGTCGTCTTGAGCCACATCGTCTTCAGCCTCTTGAGCCTCGTCATCTTCAGCCTCTTGAGCCTCATCGTCTTCACTCATCTCTTCCCCATCATCAACGTCCACTTCCAAATCAAGGAATGGGTTGTGAACGCAACCCTACACTATGTTAGTTTTTACTCCGGCCCCTACAGAACAAAACCTACCTTGCTTGTCATAATTTCTGTGGTTGAGTATATGGCTGCAGCTGCGGTTGTGGTCGTGAGAGAAGCAGTTGTGAGAGAAGTGGTGATTCATTGCCATTTCAGGCTGGGAGAACGACCTGCTGATGTAAGATGCTGACATAACAATAAATCATCAGCGCTGCCATTCAAGAAGGGAGTGGCTCACAGAGCGACTGCTCGTTAGCACGTAAGCAACAGCGATTTCACACAATTGTTTCTCGTACTATATCTAATACAGAGCATCTGGGTCAAAGAATCCTCCTACATCTCTGTCCCCAATAAACACTTAGTCAACTCTCCGTCATTCACGGTTTCATGGTGTGAGTCCTAGTGCTTTGACAAGGATCCTGGGGTTTCTTTACTTAGTAAAAGACCTACTGAAACCATCAATGTGAAGGAGAATCGTACCAGCTGAGGAATTTCCACATCAGTGGTATAGTCGACTTTGCGTCGTTCGACTTTTGAGAGTGAAGCCAGCCACTGCAGGTCGTAAAATTATTTCAGGAGTCCACGAACGCAGCGACGCGTAGACTTAAGAGTTGATGGATCAATCTCAGCGTTACGAGGTAAAGCACGATTCCCCCTCCTCAGGCTATGCGTCAAGGCATGATACATATCGATGTTGGCGAGCAAGGCATTGAGTGTACTATGGTGCCATGGTAATGTGACCTTGCATACGACCTTGAGATCACCACTGCTTTCTTCGTCGGTCTGATCAGAACTCATGCCAGCAGCCTCCAGCTGCTCCAGAATATCCTCGATAGCACTCCACAGATGAGGAGCACTATCTTTCTTCATGTTGATAATCTGTGCTCACCGCACCAGGAGCTGTTGCTCTCGAGTCAGTCTCAGCCTTGACACAGCTGGGTGGGCTTATGCTTTGATGCCGCATATTGCGACGTGAGGCCACGACGTCATCTGTTCTTCTCTTTCTTGCATCAACCGATCTGATGCTATGGACCTGAGCATGTGTGCATCTTAACTTGATGATGCAGGATTGCATCAGTTGTGTTTCCGACATCAGATCGTGGTTGAAGACAAGAGGTAATTCGGTGCTCGATTTGACTCGCTGTAAGAATTCTCGGCATAAAAGGAGAATCATCTCCTTGTTCCAGCGAGAACTCAGCTCACTATTCCAATCAATCAATGGCTGACTGATATCCGGTCCATCGCCCGACCCATCCATGAACACGTCTACTGCAGAAGAGGGTGTGGAAGAAGGCAGAATGTCATTGCTGATTGATAACACTCCCTTGGCTCACAGGTACTGTTGAAAGTGGGCCTGGTATCAAACACGGTGAATATCGAGAACGCCTCATTCCTTATGACTCACATGGAATAAATTTGTTCCCTTACCCCTCGGCCCTCGACGATTTATGGATTGTTTGCGTTGTATACCCCCTCCATCCTGCTCTTCTTCATCCCCATCATACTCTTCATCGTCGCACTTCATCCTGATGGACTGGCTGGCATCATTATGTGCCTTTCTGGTGGCGGAGAATGCATGTCCAGAATTATCGCTTATGGTATCAATCGCTTGCTTCACTCCTTCTTTGACCCCATTAGCCACAGCAATAGACATAGCTTGCATTAGTCGTGACAGAGGTGTGTCCTCGACAGATCATTGCAGGTGCAGAGGGGGTGCCGAAGAAGGAACTGTGGGACTTGCTTGAGACGTCTGCAATGCCAGCTTGGGGTACTGACTCCGATTTCCATTATGCATGGTGGTCTCCACACAGTGGCCTTCGTCAGCTCCATCCTGTTGCCATACTGAGCATATTAGATGAAACCAATAAAGATGTATATTCAGGCTTACCTGCATATCCGTCAGTCCAGCGACTGCACTTGGACTAGAAGACAATGCTTTGGCAAGCGATGCAGCCCATAGTTGAGCAGTAGCAGGATTAGAAAATACCAATTCTGGAACAAATGTGACACCCTCAGCTACAAGCATATCTTGAACATTTTCTTCATCTTCTGAACTGTGATCTCCATCTGAGAGCGCCTCGGTGATCTGTAGTGGCATCTGAACTCTGATACGCAATTGGAACATTTAGCTCACCACTATATCAGGATCTTGATTCAATGATGTATTTATTTCACCGAAAAATGTCTGCTCCTAAACTCGTACCAAAACTGTTAGCGTACGATAGCTGACAGGGGCAGTGAACTTATACGGTGACATTGACCCAAGAATCAAATTTTATTGTCACTGGTGTCACGTCAACCTGCTCAGTGGGCACCTATTGGCGACAATAAGCAAGGTCAAGGAAGGCACTTGTGAGCAGTAGTGGACCGTATGCAACTAAACCTCTGGTCCAGGCGTCGTCATACCAGAGTCTTCTGATCTAATGGCCACGAGCTTGCAAACTGAATGCGAACGCGGATGAGAGCGAACGAAGTGTAACACTGTGCTGTGAGTTTATGTGCACAATGAAAGCCCAGCTCGTGGAAAAGATGCATCAGCGGATGACATCAACAGTTCTGGATGGTGGTGATGGCATGGAGACAGCTCAGGGGGGACGACAATAAGGTGCTCAGTTGGACAGTGCAAATATTAGCAGATCCCGACGACTCTGGGTGATGCTGGATGGCGGCGTTGGAAGGCGGTTGCGTTGATGACATTCGGGACGCTCCTAATAGACAATAAGCACCTATCTAGTGAAACCGGCGGAAGGATGGACGTACCATCAAAATGAACACCTTAACTCACGTACACTGCCCATCATGGAAAGGGTGCATCAGCAGATGACACCAACAACTCTGGATGGTGGCTCTGGGCAAGGGCACTGAAAATATGCAATAAGTTGTTCAGCTAGATACAGGCGGGAGGACAGATGTACCATCAAAATCATCACACTAGCTCAATTTTGAATAGCGACTCTGGGTCGAAGGGGGGCACCGAGAACAGACAATAAGCTGCTCGGCTAAATGGCATGGAAAACTCGGGAAACATCCTTTGACGTTTAGTGGGTCCCGACGACTCTGGATGGTGCTGGATAGCAGCGGATTAGCAGTATTGGATGGCGACCTCCATGACACTCTGAACAAAACCTGCATCACTGACAGAAGGACGGACATACCATCAGATGGTGAAAGGTGCGAACCTTAGGCGACGTTGTCAGCATCCTGTTTCCACTTTCGACTGAAGCCTTCGCATCTGACATTCGCAGACTTCGCGTATGCTCGGCCCATTCAACGACCATTCCCTGTGCCGACGACGTTCTTGACTGAAGCGTTCACGTTCGCGTTCACATCCATCGTAGGTTCACCGCAGAGACCTCACCTATGCTGAGTGATGCGACCCATTACGTGACCGATATGAGTCTCGCTCCCTCCTCCTTCGCTGTAGAGACTTCGCCTATGCTGGGTGACATGACCCGTTCAGCGACCGATGTGAGTAGCGCTCCCTGCACCGATGATTCCTCATTTTTGTATCCATCCTTTCTCTCTGATTCGAGATGGGTCATAACACGGTCGTGATGCAGTTGTCAGAAGTCATGAATGGTCATTATACCACAAGTCTACGCTAACGTCCAAGCTAATGTCCACGGCTAACGTCCACGCTAACGTCCATGCTAAGTCTACACAAGTCTACACTACGTTGAGTCCATTAGCTGCTACATTATTACACTAAGGTGCATGTGCAAAGAAAGCCTAGGAGGTGGAGCAGAAGTGAGAGAGAAGAGGCACCCGTAGCGAATCTGCAGGTAATTCAAGGCCTCCAGTTTAGGACCGGTCTGATGGGATCTTTGACGGAGTGCCCACTGCCTATTTGAGATGCAGCCACTGCTGCAGTGGTGTGGGTGCCCACTGCCAATTTGAGATGCAGCCACTGCTCTAGTGGTGTGGGTGCTCACTGCTGATTTGAGACGCAGCCAGATGAAGCGGAGACTGAGAGCAACGGAACTGCACGGATGTGTGGTGCTGCGTTTCAAATCGCGGTCACGTGCCTGTTCACGTCCCACGCTCACGTTCCACATTCCAATGTTTCGCAGAAGGATTGTCTGTCGCCTCCCTCAAGAAATCCAAGTGAGTCGTCGTGATCGCGAAAATTTCTGTTGTTGTCTACCTGGCTTCACAAGGATGAAATGGATACCGATTATGTCGAAGAAAACATACTGCTGCCTCAGATAGAAGACGGACTCCAGGGTGTTTGGCTGTAAGCAATGTATTTCTGCCCCCCAACCACTTCCACTAATTACATATCTAGCATGCATGATAAACTTATTGAGGCCATCCAGCCTCTCTTGGAATTGCTATGACAGCAGACAGGGACATCCACAGCTCTGATAGTTGGGGCTCCTCCTCGAGAAGGTTCAAACACGTTTCACAAATGTGTATTCTGCTAGCATGTTGACCCTCTATGTATAGTTTACAGTCTGACAAGACACAAGATGCATCATCTCATTCTTGGTTTCAATGCGAAGTGGATGCTTTCCATGACCATATTATCCTGTCTTTTACTCGATTCTTGGCTAAAACGAAGCCCGACACATGCACAGTTGCAACAGATGCTTCAACTCCACATGCAGATGCACCATTCGAGGGCGTACCACAACCTCAATCACAGCCTGTACACTCACTTGGGGTAGTCACAGTGAACACATCTGGCACCAGCGACATCAGCACTAGGCAAGCCACCACTGCTGGTGGTGCAGGACTGACATCCTCAGTGAGTTCAAAGCACCAGCAAAATGATGTGCCACCAATTGCAACAATTAAACAGCCGTGTTTTCATCTCCATGGACTCCTGCCCTCTCGTACCCAGCTCAGCTCTGACATCGGGGAGTCTGAGGTTGCATCGGATGTTGATGAGCTTATGGAGGAGATTGATGAGCTTGTGGATGATGACAAGGAGGCCAGCAATACGATACAAAGAATTGCAACTGGTATACCAGACTGGGCTCGAGAAGTGCATGACTTCATGATGTCGAAGCACCTAGGCAGTGAGTTTGTCACAATTTTACCTGACAAAGTCATTATAGGAACAAATGCTATTAAGGAGCATATCATTTTTCATCATTTCTCGTCGCACAAGAAGTCACGTGACCTAATGAGATAAGATAACGAGGCATCCAGTCACATGACCTTGGATCTCTCTCAGCATTATCATGTGACACCGAACTCCTCAGCATGGCGTCATATGTTGCAATCGCCATGACGCCATATTGCGTGCTCAAAAGGAGCTCCGTCTCTGTGGGTTATTATTAGACAGCCAATCAGGATAATTGGGACATGTCGTACGATTGTAGCACTGACCAGTAGGATAGCGTGGGACTCGCTTAGGTAGTACTGTACAGTAGCATAGCAATCATGTATATAAGGACCAGCGAGACGAGGAGGAGACCTCAGTCTTATTCTCCTTCGTCCACCACTACCATCACAGAGGGGTCTTACCAGACACTCTCAGTGTGCTATACATTTTATCACATCCTCACTTGTGTGATAGCACCTCTAGCCTCACCAGTAAGTCTTGCTCGGTGACCAGCTACTAGGCCTCGTCAGTGGGCACGTCGTACTGCCACAGCTTGTCGCTGTAGGCTCTTAGCCAGGGGGGCCCTCAAGGGGACCCTATTTTGGTTGTCTATCTTTGTCATCGGTGTGCCATGACATTAGAATAAGACTGACCTTTTACGCCCCTACCAAGTGTCTAACACTGGTAACTGCACATTTTCGCCCAGAGATCCACACCACTTCCTTCATACCATTCCACTTCACCTCTACTGCCTAAGCCACTCCCTTCCTTCAAAAGGAACAGTGCTGCATCGACCGGTAAAGCACCACAAGTACACAACGGTATCGTTCCGCCCAACGGATGCTACCATCCTTACCAACGCGATCCTCATCGCACTCTTCGTCTAACGGCGAGCAACCTACTCCGAGCCAAGCCTGACGACTACCACTCAAACCTTCAGAAGCTTCGCTCTAAGGTCAGCTCATGGGCTGAAGCAATTCCCAAAGACGCATCTGACCCCTCAGTACCCATCTACAAACCTTATTGGTGGTCTAACGATGACGCCACTGCCGTACTCGCATTCGCACTCTCCCAGAACTATCACCCTCGAGGGATCCACAAGAATCCCAAAGGCACACTTCCCGAGAACATTGCGCCAACTGTATACGCCACTATTCAGCGTTACAAAGTCTTACAGCAGCCCCACATCACGGCTAAGTTCACGGAAGCACAAATTCAGTGCCGCGATCACATTCTGTGACACCTAGGAGCTTTAAACGAGAGGATTGGACGAGGCGACGACTTTACATTCATCGATAGGCGCATCGCTATCGAGCTCTGCGTGAGACTAGGAAAGATTTTGTTCAGAGGTATCAACAAGGAGCAGGAGCGCGTAGGAAGAGACATTGTGAGGTTCGAGAAGGAGTCGTGCTACTGGCCTTACTAGGACCAGTAATATTTTTGTACTACCGTATCAGCAGTTTCATGCCCTGGTATCAAGTCAGTTTTGTATTCAGAAACTACGTGGTCGACCACTACATCACCGACCTCTATCATCATCTGGTGTGCACGGGGTACTTCATCTATCAACCCCTACTATCAGAGCGATCCATCCCGCTTTATCATTATCCGGTTGACATCGAACGTCGAGTCACCCTGCACACACCTTTTTGACTCATTGAAACAGACATCGAGATAATCGATCCAGTTCGCGAGTGGATAAAAAATGCTTACTGGGAACGTCTTGCTCGGTTGTATCAAGAAGACGAAGAACTCTTCTGGACAAACTGGTACAGAGACTTTCCAGAATAAAGACATCCTCGCCCAGCAAGGCTCGAAGAAGCCACAGCACGGAGAAACCATATCATCGAACTAGCACGCTTACTGGGAGCCGATAACCAACTCTAGTAAAAAGCTACCATTTCGAACTCATCATTTCCCCTCTCCTCAACATCGATCCCAATGTCTCAGTATGATCTTGGCAGTGTTACATTTCCAGAAGGACATACTGCAAGTGAATCTTCTGACCCATGGAGGAGTAACGCCCCCTCCACATCATCTGAAGCAGGACCAGCTGCCCCTGTGGAAGAACCCCACAACAGCAGCACACCCAAGGCATCGGGAGTAGTCAGAAACCCATCGCCCACCACCCTGCCAGAATTCACCACACCTCAGACTTGGGAATGACAGGGGATCCCTTACGCAACAATCGAGGAGGCCGCAGACACCACCGCACCTGATACCATTCCAAGAGATGTAAAAGAATTGACAATGAATATGGTGCGAGCGTTCATCATGCGCGATGTTGTAAGCTCGTACGAAGCATTACGTCAAAAAATGGATGAACGGCATGAGCGCACGGTAGCCTCATTGGAAGAAGAGATCTTGGCCCGCATCCACGTCGAAATAATGGTGGTGGAAACGCGAGACCAACTAAGGACCGCAAGAGCCCAGATTGGCACCCTCTCTGCCAACAACGAACAGCTCATCAAGTCAAATAACAGTCTGACGCTCAAAGCTCAAGCAATCTGCAAGGACTTTGAAGATTACAAAGATGAAGTAAAGGGTCAGATGGACGCCCTTTACGGCAACATGGTCACCCTGAAGGAGGCACAGGAGAAGACCACCACCTACATCATTGGCTTAGAGTCCCGACTCAACAATGCCATCATCAATGTGCCCTCCACAGGTATCCAACAACCGGCTGGCCAATCCAGTCAATCGCCTCGCCGAATTAAGCTCCTCGATCCTCCCAAGTATTTGGGAAGGAAGTCGTCGGAAAACTTTGAAACTTGGTTCATGAACCTGCTCATCTGGCTCGATTATAACCATTTCACAGATGACAAGGACAAAATTCGGCAAGCCAACGCTCATCTGGAAGGCGGAGCTGCTCTATACATGAAAGAGTACGCAATCAAGCTCGCCTCCGGACAAGACGTTGGTACATGGGCAGAATACACCAGGAAACTGAAAATGGCATACAAGATGCTTGACCCCAAGTGCACGGCACAATCTTTGCTAGATGCACACTGTGCAAATCACCACAAGACAATGATCGCCTTCGCAGAAAATTTCAGGGCTTACGCCCCCGAATCAGGATACTCTGACGAAGACGTAATCATCAAAATCAGGGAACAACGGTCGACCCACATTCAAACGGTCATGTCAGTAATGGAGACTCTAGACCCCTCGAAGATTCCAACCACCTGGATGGACTATCTCGAGTTCTGCTTGGAGATCGAAATCAAACATCTCCAACAAATCCCAGGCAACAAGTCTATAGGACAGACCGCAATGACCAGGGCGACCGCTCCCAAGGATCCTAATGAAATGGACACAAGCGCACGAATCGCACATGAACTATCCCCGGAACAGGACAGATGGCTGGCAAACAAACTATGTTTGTTCTGCAGAAAGCACGCCTATGAACGAGGAAAGCGGTGCCCCTTCCCCAAGCCAGAATACAAGGGCAAGCGGTTTCAGACACGATCCACCCCAAAGCAAGGGCAAGGAAAAGGGAAGGGCAAGGTGACGAACGTGCGACAGGTGGAAGAAGAAAGTAGCGCGGGCTCATCAGCTCAAATTGCAGCACTGGAACAAGCAATTGCTGCACTTCGTGGGATGAGCACAACGTCGACTACACCACCGTCCAGCAAAGGCAAAGACAAGGCGAAGAGCTCGGACACAGCATCAATGGCATCGACATCTACGGTCAAGGACACCAATGCAAGAATCGTCGAGATAGATGATTTCTCAGAGAATTTTCAGTACGAAGTGTAGACGAGTCTGGTGTCACACTTCAGGACAATTGTATTAGTACCGTGAGAACGAATGTACCTAGCGATCATCTATATATTGCATCCGCGGGTTTTTCTAAACATTCGATCGAATTGCCGATAGGATTCGTATCACGAGAAATCCAGATGATGGCACTATTGGATTCTGGAGCATTCTCTTGCTATATCGACCAAAGATTCGCTGAGAAGCACGGGTTTAAGATGATACCTCTAAACCATGAAATCTGAATCCTCAACGCAGACGCCAGCCTCAACAAAGATGGCGCAATTACTCATCGTGTAGTCACAAGCATCTTAATCGGGGGGCACCGATCAACCGAGAGTTTGCTCGTCACAAACCTTGGATGCATGTCAATGATCCTCAGCATGAAGTTCTTACAAGAACATAACTCCTGAGTTGACTGGGAACATAGAGAGGTCACGTTCTCAAGATGCAGACACACGAGGAAGCAACGAGTCAAAGTATGCAAAGAAGAAGTCAACCTTCTATCGCAACCTCGGCTCGAAGATGAAGCAATTCCCCCCGACGTACACATGGATGATGGGTGGGATCAGGAAGATAACTTCATGAACTGGATAGACTTGCAAGACCAGGATCTTCATAACATGGTGCACGACATCCTAGGCATAAGCAAGAAGGTAAAGGAGCATTTGGTAGAACAGCCGACAGAAGAGACACAGGACAAAGAATATTGGTCCAAGTTCATCCCTCCAGAATTTCATCAATTTGAAGATGTGTTCTTGAAGAAGAGCTCAGAAAGAATGCCGACGCGTAAGCCCTACGATCACGCAATTGATCTTGTCCCAGACGTGGCAATCCCGAGACCGGCAAAAGTATACCCTATGTCTTTACGAGAGAAGAACTCGCTCGACGAATGGATTGACAGCGAACAAGCCAAAGGCTACATTCAACCATCTAAATCCCCTTACGCTGCTTCAGTACTTTTTGTAAAAAAGAAGGATGGCTCTCTTAGACTTGTCCAAGACTACAGGGCATTAAACAGTGTCACCAAGAAGAACAAATTCCCACTTCCGTGAATCAATGACCTCATTGACGGAATCTCTAGGGCCAGTATATTTACCACCCTAGACCTGAGATGGGGGTACAACAATGTACGCCTTCGAAAGGGAGATAAGGAAAAGGCAGCGTTCATTACCCATAGAGGATTATTTGAACCTACTGTCATGTACTTCAGATTCTGTAATGCTCCTAGCACTTTCCAGGCTATGATGAACGATGTCTTAGGTGATCTCATTCGCACTGGAAAGGTGGCAGTCTATATAGATGACATCATCATCTTTACAGATAACCAGGAGGAACACGACTGTCTGACTAAAAAGGTTCTACAACAACTCCGAGACAATGACCTGTTCGTGAAACCAGAAAAGTGTCACTTTGCGACCACTTTTGTCAAGTTTCTCGAACTCATAATCTCAAAGGGGTCAATACAGATGGACTCAGAGAAGGTCGACGGCATGCTCAAGTGGCCAGTGCCCACCAAGGTAAAGCAAGTGCAAGCATTCCTTGGTCTGGCAAATTTCTATCGATGATTCATCAAGGATTTCGGATCGATGACTCGACCCTTGACTCTATTAACATGTAAGGATGCACATGGAAATGGGAAGAACCTCAACAAAAGGCATTTGAAGCCCTCAAGACTGCATTCACTTCTGCCCCGATCCTAGCACTCCCCAATGCAACCCGTCCCTTTAGCTTAGAAACGGATGCCTCGGACTTTGCCACAGGTGCGGTCCTTGAACAGTTGGGAGAAGATGAACTCTGGCATCCTGTCGCATATTACTCCAAATCGCTCAATGAACATGAGTGAAACTATGAGATCTACGACAAGGAAATGCCAGCCATCATTCGGGCTTTGGAAGAATACCGGCAGTACTTCGAAGGACACCCTCACCCGGTTGAGATATGGTCGGCTCACCTAAATCTTACCTATTTCTGACAAGCTCAAACATTGACCAGACGACAAGCTCGCTGGTCACTTTACCTTACAAGATTTAACTTTATTCTCTGTCACCGCCCCGGAAAGATGATGATGTGTGCCGATCCTCTGTCCAGGAGGCCAGATCATGAGAAGGGGGTGAGCAATGACAATTCAGGGCAAACTTTGCTTCGACCTGAATATTTTGCCATCCACGCGATCTCAGCCACTCATTCCTCCGAAGTTGACAATGCAAAACTTCTTGAAAGAGTGAAATCGGCACTACTAGATGATGAAATGACCAAAGGTTACCAGCACCTACTAAAAACTGGCAAGCGAGAGTTCGGAAAAGACCTCCAAGAGTGGAACTTTGAGCATGGATTGCTGCTCAGAAGAGGAAAAGTCTACATTCTAAAAGACTCTGCACTGTGGAATGAGCTGATCCAGCTGCACCACGACATCTCCACGGCCAGACACCCCAGACGATGGAAGACGCAAGAGCTGATTAGCAGGAATTACTGATGGCCAGGGCTTACCATTGATGTAAAAAAGTACGTCCAAGGCTGCGTAACTTGTCAAAGAAACAAGACGAGCAAGCAAAAGCCTTATGGACTGTTACAACCTAATCCAGTACCAGAAGGACCTTGGGAAATGGTTACATGTGACCTGATTATGCAGTTACTGCCAAGCCCAGACTATAGGGAAGAAAAGAAGACCGCCATTCTGGTAGTCGTCGACAGGTTCACCAAACATGCACACTTCTACCCAGTAGACGACATGGTGACAGCATCTCAAGTAGCATCAATTTTCTACACTGAAGTATTCAAACTCCACAGAATTCTCCAGCAGATCATATCAGATCGAGGCACACAGTTCTCAGCCAAGCTATTCCAGGAGTTCTGCCAGAAACTTCATATCAAATCTACGATGTCTACAGCTTATCACCCTGAAACAGATGGACAGACTGAGCGAGTCAACCAAATTCTGGAGCAATATCTGCGCATGTATTGCACTTACCGACAAACTGATTGGGCTACACTATTGCCCACAGCGGAATTCGCATACAACAACCAAGCTTCAGAATCGACAGGCCTGTCCCCATTTTTCATTGAGCATGGTCAACACCCCTGAATGGTGCCAGACGTGCTGGAAGGAATACAACATCCATCCCTGGAACACCTATTCCATAACTGCGATCAAGCACAGGAACAAGCTCGTGCCGCTTTATCGTTAGCAGCAGAAAGAATGAAATGGTACTTCGACCTTAAAAAGCAGGACGTCCCTTTCAAAGTAGGAGATGAAGTGCTTATTCGAGGAAAAGATCTTCACGTCAAAGTCAAAAGCCAAAAGCTAGCGACTCAAAACTATGGACCATTCAAGATCCTCGAAAAGATCGGAGTCGTATCATTCAAACTGCAACTACCAGCAGACATGAAGATACATCCCGTGTTTCATGCTTCTAAGCTTATAATGTTCCATCAAGACTCTATCCCGGGATGAGTACCTCCCCCTAACCCCCCAGTCATCATTGACAGAGAGGAAGAATGGGACATAGAAGACATCCTGGATTCGAGAGTCAGGTATAACAAAACCCAGTATCTCATGAAATGGTTGGACTACGACCACAGCGATAATACTTGGGAACCATTGAAAAATCTCACAAACGTCAAAGACAAAGTAGAGGAATTCCACAAGGCACACCCAGATGCTCCAAGAGCAAAGCCGCGAACACGCAAAGTGCACAAAATCGCTCTGTCTGATCACCCTGATGAATTCATGTTCTTCTTCCGCACCCATCCGAATGCCAGAGCACCCTACAAGGGTTCTGCAGAAGCTGTTGGCTGGGATGTCAAGTCCATACAAGACATAGATATCCCCCCATACTCCAGAATGCTCATTGGCACCGGACTTGCGATTGATCCCCCAAAGTGGACATACATTCGAGTGGCCCCCCGAAGTGGGCTAGCCCTCAAAGGAATCGATGTCACAGCAGGGGTAATTGACCCAGATTACACAGGGGAAATCAAGGTGCTTCTCGTTAATATGACCAGCAAACCATTCGAGGTCAGAACAGGCGATCGTGTCACACAACTCATATGCGAACGCTATGCTCCAGGAATCATTTCTGAAGCAGATAGTTCACTCGCAAAGCGAACCATATGAGGAGCCAAAGGCTTTGGCTCATCGGGACGATGAACCTTGAGAAGGGAGTGATGTCACGGTTTTACCTGACAAAGTCATTATAGGAACAAATGCTATCAAGGAGCATATCATTTTTCATCATTTCTCGTCGCACAAGAAGTCACGTGACCTAATGAGATAAGATAACGAGGCATCCAGTCACATGATCTTGAATCTCTCTCGGCATTATCATGTGACACCGAACTCCTCGGCATGGCGTCATATGTTGCAATCGCCATGATGCCATATTGCGTGCTCAAAAGGAGCTCCGTCTCTGTGGGTTATTATTAGGCAGCCAATCAGGATAATTGGGACATGTCGTACGATTGTAGCACTGACCAGTAGGATAGCATGGGACTCGCTTAGGTAGTACTGTACAGTAGCATAGCAATCATGTATATAAGGACCAGCGAGACGAGGAGGAGACCTCAGTCTTATTCTCCTTCGTCCACCACTACCATCACAGAGGGGTCTTACCAGACACTCTCAGTGTGCTATACATTTTATCACATCCTCACTTGTGTGATAGCACCTCTAGCCTCACCAGTAAGTCTTGCTCGGTGACCAGCTACTAGGCCTCGTCAGTGGGCACGTCGTACTGCCACAGCTTGTCGCTGTAGGCTCTTAGCCAGGGGGGCCCTCAAGGGGACCCTATTTTGGTTGTCTATCTTTGTCATCGGCATGCCGTGACAGAGTTCAACAGATGTGTCTCACTGTGGATAGCAGTTGAGAACAGTTACGGTTTTAAGACTGCGGTAAGTGATGCACACCTTGATACACTGTCATCTGCTGACTTACTACAGATCAGAGGCCTTGATGCTACCAACTGCCCACCCCAGGTCACACACTGGCTTCGTGTGCACTGTCGCATGCTGTCAAACCTTCCAGTCATCGAGAGCCTAGATGAGTACACTTGCTCCTGGTGGCTGTGGTGGGCTGGCCTTCAACCGGAGTGGAGAAAAAATGATATTTCTGGGCATCCAATACCCGGCGGTGGTGGTGATTGGACCAAGCTCAGAAAGCCCGGTCAAAACGGGTTGCTCACGGTCCTTCTTGCCCTTCTGTGGTGGAGACTAGCTGCAGAAGAAGTGAACTTGTCGGACTGGAACATGGCAGTTGCTGATGTATCCTGGGTCCTCACGCAGCTCACACATGATCAAGTGCCTCACATAGTGCTCAGGAAACATGGAAAGGAGACGCTTGGATGCCGACCAAAGAAACAGTAAGCATTCTATCTTCATTTATGCAGATTGTGTAATGTTGACTGGCCGCGCACTCAGAAAATTGGCTTGATCTATGTCTGCTCTCTATGTTCCAGTTGCATCGCGTGGTGATTCGTGTGAAGTCTTTGCTTTGTAGTTGTATCCTTCGTCGTTCTCTTCCCTTCAAATGACTTACTATTTAACTTACGCCAACCATAGCGCATCGCAGCAATGATAGCTCTAGGATGTCGGCTTTGAGATCCGAGATAAGAGACTGTGAGATACAATATAGAGTTAATATGTGGCACAGAGCTGACGCTCCCACTCTGATGAAACCCTGCACATAATCTGATCGCACGGGCATCGACTTCGTGCTTGATCCCTCCGATGGAGCTGCTGCTCCCGTTTTGCACAGCACCATCTGCGTTCTCTTTGACAACTTTGGTCCCGACTTCATTTTTCGTGTCGGAGCCCGGTGGCCACCTAAGGCATGCTCCACAGCCATGCCAGCGCAAATACAGGAGTAGATAAAAGAACATTGACGACCGGAAAGAGGTCTGGATACCACGCAGGAGGTGACATGAGCAGTTCCAATACATGAAGGACAAGGCATGCTGTATGGGCAGCCTGGGCCAATACGTCAGCGAGCACCGATCGCAGCAAGGATAGGTACGCACCAGTGATACGTAGTGTGATAGGGATTCTGGCCGAGTACGAAATGGGTTGTAACCCACTAACCGATTCCAGAGAAGCGTCAGTGCAACTGCGTAGCGGCTGGGTGTAGTGCGAGTACTCTTGGAGAAATATTGGAAATAGAATTCAGTTGTACATTTAGACGTGCAGACTCAGGAAACATTGATGGGACATAAGGCAGAAACGCTAATGTAAACAGGAGATGGCGTAACAGATTCTTACTGGGTACTACCATCATCCGACCCTGCTTTCCAAGAAAGTTTTTTATCCCCTGAATTAATCCAGATATCGATGAGAGCGCACGTCTCCCAGATCAGAGACAATTCGACATTTCGGTCGACAGTGGCATCTTCCCACATCTGCAGGGAAAGGAGTGCAGGGAATTGCTGCAACCAATGTGGAAGGTGACGCTTATGGATAGGGTTCGTTTAGACATATGAATAGCATAAATGTTCGCGTGTGCTTACCAGCAGCGAGGAACTGAATGCATCTTTGTGCTTCAGCCGCGAGGCTTGTTCGAGAGTGATGCAACTTACGTGAGTAAGAGCGACATCCAATGTGTGAAGGTAATAATCACCAAATGGAGTGTCATTCTCAGCTGCAAGCTGAAAGGGGATGGTGCAGTTGAAACACCACAATGCGCTGCACGCTCCAACACATTCCACCACTCTTACAAGGTTGCACACATAATCGGCAGGATTAATATGATCTTGATCTGGCAGTACGACGAGCTTCTCCAAAGCTGAAAGCAGATGGTGGGAATCGCTCAACAGTCAGATGAGGTATGTAAGTGGGCCATCCAGGATCCGCAGTCGAGGCAATGAAGGGGGGAGGCAGCGTCGATGTGTGGCACCACCACAATGGGAGTGGAACCCGATATGGAGTTCGCGAAGGTCATCGTGATGACGTAGGAATCGATCAAGCACGAGCTGCGTGAGTTTGCCCTCAATTCACAGGACCTGCAAGGTCGGCACTGCGAGTCGCTCGAAGATATGAGTTCAAGGAGGTGTTCCGATGCCCGGGGTGTTCAAAGTGAGTTCGGTGATGTTGGAGGCATTAATACTCGCCACTGTCCATCGATAAAGCAGGGCATCGAATAGTGCAGATACCTGAGGCTCGAAAACCTTCAGTGAAGATAGGGAGAGGGGAAAACGAGGTGGTATGCATCTCATGAGTTTGAACGGATGATAGACTTCGGAACTGCAGTGCCAAGCCATAAGATTCATGACAGCCATGCCCTCGAGGCTCTCTAACAGCCGGGCTAGTTCTGCATGTGGAGTCGCCGTGAATCTGAGCTGCATGGTTTTCAATGCAGGGATGCGCTGCAAGGATAAAAGGAAACAACTGATTCGACCATCTTTGATGGAATCATCGGAGAATGTGATGCGTAGAGTCGTTGGGCATTGAAAAACAAGAGAATAGCGCCAAAAACCTAGAATGGAAGCGCATCTCCATCCAGACAAAGTGAAATCACCATTCGTGGCTAAAATGTGTATGCCATAGTGATCCAGATAGATTGGGACACCGATGAAGTGCAAGTGGCATGATGTCATCGTGAAACTGATGAGATCGTCATCCGGCAACAACTTTGCGATTGCAATGACTAGTTCGGTCGGTACTTGAGAAAATATGTCAGTTTTCTCCTCCGCTTCGTACAGAGAGGTGACTGTGTCAGAACTCAGATGGTGCCTTTTGATAAAAATGGCATCATTTCACTTACGAGAATAGATGGGTCTTCAGGCAGCACAGCGGAGGGTGGAAGGGAGGATGATTCAGGCTCTCCGAAGAGACAATCCAATGAGATCTAGCACAATGACTTAGTAACCCATCATGCGATTATTCACGGACTTGCATACGGAGAGGGAGGATTTGCTGAGATCATTAACGAGACAAATGCCACCATCATTATCAGAGGATATGAAGCTGTCTGTTGAGCCAAACTTCTCATCTGCCACCTGGAAATGCGTGTGTAGTATCAAGATCAGCGATCCTATGCTATGAAGCTGAACTCACAGGAACAGTGTCCGCAGACACAACCCAAATCCTCCACCAGAAGGGAAATAACAAGCTGAGAACCAAGCCCATGATTTGACGTGCTGACATCCCATCGAACGTGAAGACACCGCATTTATATATGCGTGGCTATCTGCATTGATTTCAACAGCGAATTTACAAGCTAAAAAATAGAGCTTCTCATGCTCGGCAGTAAGCATGCATCCGGCCGGGCAGGGCAGCTCTTGGTGGAGCACATCTGCACTGGTCAACGGACAATAACGTCTTGAACAACACGTGCCGACGATACCGAGAGCAATTTCATTATCTCCCATCCTTCGCATCAACAGGCAATCCACTGGAGGTGTTTGGTGGGTCCTGGTGACTCTGGACAGCGGTGTTGGATGGCAGAATTGGACAGCAACATTTGTGGCACTTCGAATGGACAACAAGTGTCTGCATATCCTGAAAGCGACTGTACCTGAAGGTGATTGGCCTGACTCATAAAGGCTGCCCACAATGGAAACGATGCATCTGGAAATGACATCAACAATTCTGGATGGTGGCTCTGGCAGTTAGCATGGAAAACAAATAAGTTGTTCAGCTAGATGGCACGAATGATTCTGGATATTCATTCTTCGATGCTAAGCAGGTCCTGATGACTCTGGGTAGCCCTGGACGGCAGTGGAGACACAATAAGCACCTATAGCATCGCAGGCGGGAGGACAGACATACCATCAAAACTCTCAGCCTAACTCACGCATGCTACATTGCCCACAGTGGACTGCTAAGACAGTAGCAAAGACAGCAGCAAAAGGAGTGAATAAGGCTCGGTATCGGGGATACGGGCATATGAGACAGCTATCCTCACATCACCCGCAGCCAGCTGGAGATCCTTGGCGGATCCCAAGCGTTCCTAGATGGCAGCATCAGATGGTGCTAATCCATGAGTCTCAATCGAAATCGAAATTGAATTAGCACCTGTGCGGTGACGTAGAGAGAGTGGAAATACCTTGAATCATGCAATAAATCTGCATACAGTTCCCACGATGCTGGGTAGGAAGCAATGAACGGGTCTCACTCTAGTTCATCGTTTGCCCCTGCGGACACCTTCTGCACTCCCTGATGTGGACTGTGAATGTCGTACATTGTGTGATCGTCAAGCCTGCAAACTTTGAAAGTTGCAGACGCCATGGCAGTGGCTATTCAGCTCTTAACTTGCCTAGTTCGTCTCTTGCTTGTCATTATTGAAGCCTTGAAGCCCACTTCCACAGGAATGCTAGCAAACTTTATCGGACACAACGAGAGAAAGCCGGTGAATGGCACTACGTATCAACGAATGCTAGCAAATTTTATCGAACACAATGAGAGAAAGCTGGTGAATGGCACTACGTATCAACAATTTCATCGGCTTCTACTGCAAACACACCCAGCGCCTGCATTGTGGGCCCATTGCCACAAATCCACATGCCTTTCTGAAGTAATAAAGCTCACGAACGCGGCAGTGGAAAATGCTACCAGGAACAATTGGACCCAATATGTGGGAGAAGCCGAGGGCACCACGCTTTGAGAAGTTAAGTTCTACAGTACATTCAATCAACTTAAAGTCAGATGTATTTGTTTTTATGAACCTACACATGACCATATCCTCAGCTCCGATGGGCCATCATCGGTGGATGCGGTCATGATTAGGCACTGCCACTCACTTTCATGTGTCTACGAGGACGTCAGCATTATGCCTGAGCAAAGGGTGCATCTAACCTACAGAAACAATCTGCACCAGCGTCGTGTCTGAAAGAAGACCGAAGCGTGAGATTACCTCGTGTCTAAGCCACTGCGTGTCGCTCACCATGGGAATGGTCGAGCATCTGAGTTAATCGCCTAGTCCTGATGTCAAATACTCGTGCAAAACCATCATTTCTGCCCATAACAACCTCATTGTCAAAGAGGCTGACTTGCATCATGTAGTTGCATAGAATTGGATAGGAATATGAATGAGTTCACTCCATGGATGGCAGTCTGTATTGATCAACGCCAGAAAGAAGGTTCGAGATGAACAGAGACTGCCCGTTGGAAGAGAGCATAGAATGACCACTGGATTCATTTGAGGTTATGGGTAAGTGAACGTGGATGACTACGCACATGCAAGTTGGGATCTGCTTAGCCCACTGCAGATTCCAAGGGTCCACATTGTAGCATAGTCTACGAAGGGTTGGCGATCAGCAGGGCTTGTTGAACAACACTGACCTAGATACGTATACTTCATGCGACTCGCAGAGACAAAGAATGACGTTGGTTCCATTGTCTAAAAAGTGAACGCTCTGCATCATTGCTCCCTCCTGTTCAAAGTCCGTAGGAATCTTCTCCAAACAGCCTGTGCATAGGTTCATGAGGCATGCATACATCGCTGTTATAGAAATAGAAAATGGAGACAAACCACCTGTGGTCAGCTTCCACAGCTGAATTGTGCCCCCGCCAACACTGGCAATGTGACCACTACTGTGATCATAGCTAATGTTTTGAACGAAGGCTTTGTGGCCAACCATCATAGAACAGTATGCGAAGGGGGCCTGTGGCAGGACAGTAGGTAATGCATGGCTTATTTGCTGGTGAGATGCACCTTCAAGTCCACTCTCTGATAAACCTGCAGGCTGCCATCAGTGCAGCCAATGATGAAAGCCAGATTGTCACCCTTGCCAAGATCAATCCAGCATATGCAAACCACTTGGCCGTGAAACATGCATGATATGTCCTGTATCTGGTGCGCGGTCTCGAGATCCTAAACAATAACACGTCCATCATCAGCTGCAATGTCTTGGGTAAGAACTGGGGGTGAGCAGTGTATGTTGAAAACAAACCACCTGTGAGCAATGTCAGACCATCATGGCCGACAGCCACAGTGTTCATGGGAAGATCGTGGCCATGCAATGTCTTCTTCAATGTAAACTGTTGCACACATTACATGAGAGTGTAAATGATGGAATTCTTCACGTACACGAATGCCAGTCATGCCGCGAGAAGACGAGGAAATGGTGTAAGTTGGAAAGGACAAGTAAGAAGACAATAAATGGGCGTGACATGAAACACCCACCTCAGAGAGTTCCGCGTGCGTCTTTCATATCCCGCAACTCACGGGAGGATCTTGGCAATTTTGGATGCTCTGGTGATGGCTCTGAGAATGGACAATTAGAGGAGCATCGCATCTTAATTGCTCGATTAGGACGAGTCCGTCAGATGGCAAGAACGATTCTGGAAAGCGACCAACAATCTTGTCTTTTGATGCTTGGAGTGTCCCAATGACTCTGGATGGTGCTGGACAGCGATATTGGAAGGCGATTATGGATGACGACATTCAGGGTGCTCCTAATAGACAATAAGCACCTATTTAGTGAAACCGGCGGAAGGATGGATGTACCATCAAAATGAACACCTTAACTCACATACACTGCCCATCATGGAAAGGGTGCATCAGCGGATGACACCAACAACTCTGGACGGTGGCTCTGGGCGAGGGCACTGAAAATATACAATAAGTTGTTCGGCTAGATACAGGTGGAAGGACAGATGTACCATTAAAACCATCACACTAGCTCAATTCTGAATAGCAGCTCTGGGTCGAAGGGGGGCACCGAGAACAGATAATAAGCTGCTCGGCTAAATGGCACGAAAAACTCGGGAAACATCCTTTGACATTTAGCGAGTCCCGGCGACTCTGGATGGTGCTGGATAGCAGTGGATCGGTGGTATTGGATGGCGACCTTCATGACACTCCAAACAAACAATAACTACCTAACGTCACTGGCAGGAGGACGGACATACTATCAGAACGATCAGCCTAATTCACGTACGCTACCCGCGTATCGATGTGAGCCTCATTCCGTGTGCTGTTGGCATGAGTCTCGTTCTGTATCTGTGCCGACAGTAGGTGCCTTTTCTCTCCATCCGATTCCATTATTCCCGCAATGTCAGTAGCAGGTTCTGATGATCCTGGAGCGTGCAAGGCTCTCCACTAAAACTGGCAATCAAGGGATTGTGCCGACCCTTTACTGATGCTCCATCGCTGGTCATGCATTAATGTCTCGTGATTCTACGCTAGGCCTGTGCTAAGTCATTGAGTCCACTAATCGATTGCATGTCTTCTCTTGCCCAACGCTTCCTCTCGATGCTCGGTCTCTCGATGTCTTGGTAGATCGAGCCTTGTGGGGAGGCCACATTTGTCCATGGAGGGAACGGTTGGCACAGAAGCCATGAAAGCAACGTTCATGATGTCGCTCCCCCCTGGGACTGATCACGGTCCTTGTTGTCCCTGCAATGTCTATCCCATCCTGGTTCCGATCTCTGTCTTTGTCCCGATCATGCTCACGATCCTTGTCTCCTTTGCGCTCTCTTTCCCTGTCTCTATCACGAAGTCTCTACCTTTCCAGACCTCTCTCTCTATCACAATCCAACTCATTCTCAGCCTCACATCCTCCTCTCAAGCTGCGCTTTTCACACGCTGTGCCTGATGAGATATTTTGTGAGCTTCCTGACTCCCCTCATGCTCTCGCTTCTCATCCAGGTACAACGATAATCGCCGCTCGCGCAACTATCTGAACTCGCACGTCTAGCTCCTGGACGAGTAGAAAGAGACGGAGAGCATCAGCGAGAGGATGGTGAAGGGGCTGCGCGTGCAATGGACTGGCTCGTCTTTTCTTCGGCCTTCTCTGCACGGGTCTGCTGGGCAGTTCCTCTGAGCTCCTGAGCTGAGACGGTTTGGCTTGAAATGGTATGTGGCATGATTTGCGATGGCTCTGTCTGACCAATTTTCCTTTCATCCGTTCGGTGCAATCTAGCTGATTGAGGAATCTTTTTTTTTGCAAAGTGTGTTGGGCCATTGACATCCGAAGAGGGCACCATTGGTCTTGGCAGTTGCACAAGCGGTGATGCACCTTCACGAGAGACAGTGACTGGACGACCTTGCTCGGAGGAGGAGTCGTGCTGATTGTGACCTCTGGATTCATTGCAACCAGTCTAGGTGCGCACGATATGGGTTTTGCAAGTGCGCAAGTTGCTTCCGCTTGAGAGTGCATACTATCGACGTTCATTATCCTCTTGACGACTTCTGGCCTTGGAATGCTGTCATTATATAGGTGTGAGCTTGTAATAGTGCTGCCAAACCAAATGGCCATACCTTTCTATGGCCGCCTTTGTGAAACTTGATGTCGAACAATCAATTTCCAAGTGAGAAAACCTGTTCGTCACCGTTATGAACGCTTCCATGGGGGAGGTAATGAGACTAGAAGCCGGCGACGTGCACACACATGTTCGGAACCGTTGATAGGTGCTTTTGTGCCTGCAGCAGACGAGGCAGACCAGAAAGACGATGAGAATAAAGCCATAGCACATGTATACGAACAGACCTTGGTCTGAGGATTGATTGCAATCCACATATGCTCCCTCTTCATCAGCAACGGGGAAGATCAGAAGGATACCGCCGCAGAAGTGCATGAAAGTGGACAACAGAACAGCAGCTTGGAGATCTATATCGCCATACCTTCAGATGAATCGCAACGATTTTAATGTCCAATCACTTACTGTGAGCAAACCAACGCTGTTTTCCATGGGGCAAGGTGTTTGACGATGAACTTGCGCACTGAGATTCGATTGCTCGATTCCCTCGTCAATGCTTCCGCGGTGACTTCGAAGGCATTCATGGTGATGGTCCACAGTCTTGCTCCTCCGGATCGCTGTTGTTGGCGCCACAAAGCTGTACGGTCACATATTCCTCGTCATATGTTGCAGGCGAAGGCGTGAGATCGAACATCGACAACTGCTAGAAAGCAGGTGTGGAGGAAAGATCAGTCAACATGCATGTCTCAACTCCTAGAAATCTGTTATGCACCCTATGATTCCTTCCAGGTGCTATCTGTTTCACATCTCCGAAGGGTGAATGGAACTCTGGCAGCCAACGGTGCTAAATGATCGTAAACTGTCGAGTGTGCCCACGATTTCGCGCATCTCACGTAGGGCCAGTATGGGCATCCAGTCGACGAGGGTGTTGCGCCAGCTGAGGGGCAGGCTGCATACGATGCGTGAGATAAATGGGTGGAGCATGATGATGCGCATCGCTGTCGGGCTTCCACCATGTATTGACCCGTTACGTGACCAATATGAGTCTCGCTCCCTCCCTCCTCCTTCGCCACAGAGACTTCACCTGTGCTGGGTGATGCGACCCGTTAAGCGACTGACGTGAGTAGCACTCCCTGTGCCGACAATTCCTCATTTTTGTATCCATCCTTTCTCTCTAATTCGAGACGGGTCATAACACGGTCGTGATGCAGTTGTCAACAGTCATGAATGGTTGTTCTAAACAAGTCTACGCTAACGTCCACGCTAAGTCTACACAAGTCTACACTACGTTGAGTCCATTAGCTGCTACATTATTACACTAAGGTGCATGCGCAAAGAAAGCCTAGGAGGTGGAGCGGAAGTGAGAGAGAAGAGGCGCCCGTAGCGGATCCACGGGTAATTCAAGGCCTCCAGTTTAGGGCTGGTCTGATGGGATCTTTGACAGAGCGCCCACTGCCTATTTGAGATGCAGTCACTGCTGCGGTGGCTTGGGTGCCCACTGCCTATTTGAGACGCAGCCACTGCTCTGGTGGCGTGGGTGCTCACTGCCCATTTGAGACACGCAGCCACTGCTGCAGCAGTGGCCTGGGCGCTCCCTCACTTGGCCGGTCTGATGGTATTTGCCAGTTTGCCAGAGCACCCAGGCCAGTGCAGCAGTGGCTGCGTGTCTCAAATAGGCAGTGGGCACGTCTAATGAGCAGTGGCTGACACAAAAGTCTGTAAAAAATCTTTGGATAATTAGTTGAAACCGTGGAAGAATTGATGAAACCGCAGATAAATGAAACGGCGGATAAATAATGAATCGGGATTTTGTACAGACTTTTCGGTGCGATTTTATTGTACCGTGTTTGTAGTGTGAATACCAAGATCACTACTAGGTCACCTTCATCTGCTACTGGGTATTTTATATATGTGATGGTTTTATATTCAAAAATGTATGATTACGTTCAACAGCACTGAAAGTTTAAATTTATTTGCTATTGGGCATTTTTATATGTGCGATGTTTTGGAATTCAAAAACATATGTATAATATTCAACAACACTCGAATTTTAAATGTCCTTGGTGAGTTTGAAAATGGTGTCATTTTTTAAAATATATGAATTAAATTCCTTCCTCCAAAATATTATATGCAAATACTTAATACGGAATGTGGGAAGGAACCGTAGCAAATCAAGATCACAAAGGCAAAAAACCTGTAGACATTTGCTAAGCATTTGCCATGTGCGCAAATCGCTTCGTCTCTGCGGTGTGGCCAGCTGTGGCCTCTTGTCATGTGGCATCATGTCACACCTTCCCCTTTGGTCACTCGAAATGTTTACTGTCATGATGCAGGATCGCAAGCAGCAATTTGCACATAAAGGGATTGCTTCAGTACAATGATAGGCATGGCCCTCAATATCAGCAGAAGGTATATTATGTACGCTTTTCAAGTACCATCGCTGTCAGATAAACGTTAAGAGTTGACTGACGCGACGTGGAGGCTTTCGTAACCTATCACGTTCACTGTTTAACGAGATAATTTCCGCATATGATGCACCGACCACGGAATATAGCGGATCACATTGAATTCCAAACTGCTTGCACCACGAGCACGAGGTTTTGGAAGCCTAGAAGGTAGCCACTGTCAGAATTGCTGCTGGCTTTGATAACATGTTCATCATTTTGCAAGTCAATAAAGCAGTTTAACATTAATGTCTCCCCTAGTAGGCAGACCTATTAAATCGTAAGTGAAACGTGAGTTAATGCCAAGGAAAAGTGAAAATGAGCCTTTTACGAGGCTATCCAACCTCATTTATTGATGAGAAAGGCTGACTCGTTCTATTAGTCGCAATGGGTTTGCTGCAATGAGAATTAGTACTTTCTTTGCTGACGGTTATGATCGCATGTTCCGAGCATGCATATCACACAAATGTTCTCTTCCATGGTCTACAGATTTGATATGTCCATCCACAGCATTCGATATTCAAATGCTGTGGGTGGACATTTCCAAGGAGTCAACTTAGCTGCAAAAGAGACCGACATGAGAATAACCCAGGCAGAGCTGCCCAGGTGCTGAAAGCTAGACGTGTCACAGTGGCACACCGGTGAGTATCCCACTCGGCGTGTGCTTACACTGCAGACATAATGCCATTTGTTACTATGAAATATGTTGGTTTGATCCTTTGTCTTTAGAAAATAGATTTATCTGTGTGACATATGGTGTTGCATATCCATAATTAATGCCTGAAGTTGTAACAGCCACAAATTGGTGCCAACATATTTTGCCTTAGCTGCAAGCAGAAATTATAAAATATTGCATATAAAATATAACAGGATTGAAAACAGTATCATAAATTGGCAAATTGCCCCTCAGAACAGAGCATATAAATGTACATTTGTAACAACACTACATTTTGTATGCAATGTTCAGGATTTGTACAAGAGGCTTAGGAAAATATATGAACTGTGATTTGAAACTGTTGCAAATTGAGCTTCAAATTTAGAGTGTTCCATTATACTTGCCACAGAGACAAATTCAGTTTCTAAAGACAAAGGACCAAAGCAACATATATCATGGTGGCAAATGGCCTTATGTCTGCAGTGTGTATTGTTCGTAATATACAAGGTTGTATGATACCCAAGCAGGTACGCTACGTAGCGTATGGCGTGGCAGAGTCTAAAGAAAGTTCAGGGATGTTAGGATGACTACATAGAGCTATTGGTAGTACACCGAGAGAGTCCCGGAGTCATGCGGAGGGTAGTCCGTAAGGGCTGAAAAGTCCCACAGGCATCATCGGAGGACTCGTTGGGATGCTTTGAATCGATGACGATGTCTCATTTGCGACCTGCATGTACGGGAATGGATCAGCATCAGTTGCTGCTGTTTGCTGCCTCAGGCACACATTACACGTACACACTGCGATGCCTCCGATTATACGGTTCAACGATCCTGAACGTATGTTGTTACTCTTTTGGAGCTGCAGATAAAGCTCGACTCCTGAAATCTCTCATTTTTGTTTCACAAATTCGAGCTACATCATGACCACCGAACATATCACCTTCCGACGTAGAAATTCCGTAGCGATCCCCGTTTGGAACATATCTAGCATGTCACGAAAGTCCATAAAATACAACAATGATACTTACTGCATCAACGTATCAGTCAAATGAAAGCGTCTTCCCCCGTCTGTGGAGTCCGTGTGTGGTATATGAAGTGGCGAAACCTCAAAACGTCAAATGGATAGTAAATGTCGATAGATGAGCGGGAAATATTGTCAGCCTCCCCAGCCTAACAGCAAGCCTTAACGGCCTGCTGAAGATTTCGCAAGGTGATATTGACGCCGCTGTAGTCCTCGAGGTACACCTCGCGATCACGACACCGCTCGACGACACGTGTCCAGAACTGCACCACGCGGCGATCAGGCCTGTCTGTTCGCATGCGATGGCTCTCTGCGCTCATATCGCGCACGTAAAGGAGACTCGGGAACGCGTCGCGGTGCAGCAGGGACGAGAGTTGCTCGAAGAGTGGGAAGTACGGCGTGTCGCCCGCGTGCACCGGTGCGTCTTCGAGGAGACGTGTGTCGATGTCGCGGATGCCAATGAGCTCGATACGTGGGTGCGCAGGGAGGAGGATATGTGGCGCGATCCAGTCAGGCGACTGCCAGTGCCACTCGGCGTCAGCGGAGCATATGAACTCGCGGAGATTCGGGCACCAATCCGCTAGCGGGATCGGGCGCAACGCGTGCGCGTTCTGCTGTAACTGAAGCACGTGATGTGGCGTGGTGAGGTAGTGCTCCTCGATGATCGCAGACGAGTGTCCGAGCTCGAGCTGGCTGAGCTTGCTTCCGTGCGCCTGGAAGAACTGTGCGAAACCAAGCCCGGTGTAGCTGAAGTCGGAGGAAACGACGGAAAGGTTCATGAGTCTCGGCATCTCCCATGAGGCGAGTGCAGCGAACGTGTTATTGTCGAGTGACACTTTGAGAGCGCGTAACGACGGGAGCGAGACGTCCATGTCGATCTTCTCTCCATTGGGCTGTGACAGCGACTCGGCGAGGATGATGCGGAAGTGCGGTGAATAGCACGAGAGCTCGAGATACTCGAGTCGCGTCGCGAGGTTGCACTCAAGTGGGTGCATTCGCAGCTGGAAGGGGCGGTCGTCGTAGCAGGTCCAGCTTAGGCGTCGGATCTTTGGATGTGCAACCAGCCTCAAGATCTCCTCTGGGCTACATCGTGGGTCTGAGGGGTTTTCCAGGAGACTCCGGCGGACGGAATGGTGATCGGAGAAGATAGATAGGTGGGGCGCGAACTCGAGGATGGTGCGGAGATCGGCTGGAGAGCAGCGTTCGAGAGAGAGCGTCTCGATGTGCAGGCGGCGGAGGTACTGGCCACTGGTGCAAGAGTAGGGGTACTGGAACGACTCGGTAACGAGCGTGCGCACGAGGAGTTGCGCCTGTGTGGCGCGGCTAATCCAGATGAACTCGTAGAGAAAGGGCCGGGCGAGCGCGTTCCACTCACGGCAGACCATTAAAAGCGCGAGCTTGATGCGCATGACGGCGCGGTAGGTGGCGAGCTGAGCGTGGGACGACTCGAGAAAGGAGAGTTCCTGCGAGGTGTCGAGTGGGTCGTGGTCACTCAGACATGCATGCTTGATGATGATGGCCCATATCTCTGAAGGAATGAAGCGGTTAGAGCAGTTGGGTCGTGGATTATGGGTGACAGAGTGCCTAGAGGGAGAGCCGGGTCAGGAACGGTGATCGATAGAGCAAGGCACACAGAGCGAGATCCTGAGAGTGCCACGATCCACTGAACGTCGTGATGCATCGCAAAGGTTGTCGCTGCACTTCGGAGTACTAATCACACCAGGACGGGAATGGACCTTGCCATCTCGCCAAGCAAGACTGCGGGGAATGCGTGGAACGTACCTCTTGATGTGGAGACGATCTACTACGGCACGAAGTCTCTCCTTCACGCGTCGGTGCGCGAAGGCCAAGGAATGCTTGCACGAAGGAGACATGGTCGGCGGGGAAAGAGTATGGTGAGAAGGCAGGAGGAGGACGAGAGTCGGGGTGGAGGGAAGTGACAGGAAACAAGAAGAGTGTTCGACTCTGAGCGCTTCATCATCCTCGTGCTGTTTGCCAGCAGCGCAATCCCGTCGGCAGCGCTCGTCGTCCTCAATGTCTGTGCTCTCGTAGTCACTGCGGTGCATCGCTTATCTCGGCTACCACTCGGTGCTAGTCTCTCTCTTGCTGGAACCTACCCTCCTTTCGTGGAACTCTCTCTACGACGACGGGTTCCATTTGTATCTCGATCCGCATCCCGCCGCAGCTCAATCCTCTGCAGGCAACTGCAATCCACCCGGTTGGCTGCCCAGGCTCTCCTCGAGGTCTTCTGGCTCGCTTTTCATCATCTCGTACCTTCTTCCGGTGGTTTTCATTCAAAGAACACCCATGGTCGCCTTCAAACGTTTCCATATGATCAAAAGCAAAGAGCGTTCTTTATGACGAACAGCAGTCCTCATTTGCTCAACGAGCAACAAAGCTGGGTCTCGCACAATAGTTCTTGGCAGCAGGTGTGCTATCTCCCTCGTCCATAAGTGCCGGTGCCATTCCGCGCGGCAGAATTTACAAGGTACCTGTTGAAGCCCTTCGGGCATTTTACTACCGCATTGTGGGGCGGAAAGGTGTGCGGTCAATGAGCTTACATCATTGGCGTGGCGTTCTGAAACACCGCGTGTGCGGTTCGTCTTGCTGCTGAAACTCCACCTCTCCGATCGAAGAGCTCTCGAGAAACGTGAACTTGCGGGAATAGGGCACACTGGGGATTCGCTGGGGCTTTCGAAACTTCACACCAGCTACATACCTTAGTGCGGCTGGAACAGGCAGATTGGCCTTGCCTGAGCGACGCTGGATCATCGCGGCGTATTTCGAAAGACAGCCCGAAGCTGAGGCAGCATCACCCGAGCATCTGATTCGCCGCGGCAATTCTGGATCACCGCGGCGTATTTTGAACACAGCATGTGCGTGGTCGCTGCGGTGCCATCGTATGACACGCCGACGCAATCTGAGTTTGTCCACACTCGATGTAAAGCTTGCGAGTGTATTCATTTACTAACGAATTGGCCCATTGGGCCTGTGAGAACACGCGGCCAGCGCGGATAGTGCCTGAACGCTTACTGCACATAGTAATTCAGCTCGAACTCGGTCGCTCTCCGCCAGTGATCGCATCAAGTGGGTTGGTGGCGGCAGGCAGGGGAGCGCCTAAGCGCTTCGCTGGTGGTTATGGCCCCGAGAGCAGGAGCTTGAGCCTCTTCGCACTCTTCGACTTGACAGCTGCTTTCATTTCGTCGAGCCCTTGCACGTATCCCCATTTAGCAAAGTCCGTGAGAGAGGACCCATTGCAACAACATAGCAAACCGCACCGGCCATCCAGCCTGGACGCTGTATCCACGGTGCACATCTGTCTATTCGGAGTTGACTGAGTGTTGGAGTGATGGTTGGGTGCAGTGCAACCTGGTACGCTGATGGGACATCACAGAGGCAGTGCAAGAATATATAATTGATGTGCGCCTATCACCATCATTCGAGCGATCAGTAAAGTGGCCACTTGTTGGATGCGGTCTCTAGTGCTAGCTGCGTCGTTTCAAACCGTCGAGCGCTGTTTCTCTGACGGCGTGGAGTTGAGCTTGTGGTGGGCAGCTAAGCTCCTCATGGTCAGTGCATAGCAGCTGTCAGCGTTATATGAACGTGAAACACAATCTTGTAGGTCCATCCATTTGGCAAGAAAGGTTGCCCATGTGAGTCTGATCCCGTCAGATTAACGTCACATCCACCATCATTCCACATCCGTACTCGAGTCCGCGAGGACGTTGCTGGCCAACGCCGACTTTCCAGGCATTAATGAATGCATGGAGCATGTGCACAGCCTGCGTGTTAAGACTCGCCGACAGAGGGCTAGACCTGCCGTTTCCTGGGCATGTTGGTCCTTGGAGTGCCACAGTCTGCAGTTCAAAATCAAATGGGCTCGCTTCGCAAGGGACAGAAGTCATGAAATCGCTACCTCAAATGGTATATCGAGCAGATCTTGAGCATGTCATGAGGATTCAGCATCAATCGATACCCGTTGAGTGACGAACACAAAACCTCATGAAGTATTGACGTCCCGGAGACAGCTGCGTCGCCACTCGCGAGCGCAGTCGGCATGCAAGCTAACACGGGCTCACCGTTTGCACTGACAACTGCGGTGTGGTGAGTTTATGCACTGTCGATTGTGCACCATCGTAAGCCACAACAACTGATCGATGTCTGGGATCCAAGGACAGAGTATAGCGTGGTCCATGGTGTCTTGGAACAATCGTCATGCGTAGCCCCTTCAAAGACCTGAGTAGTACGTCTGCAGGAGTACCATGAGGCTGTCGTTCTGCGTGCAGTTTGACTAGACCAAAGAGACTCCCCATTGAGCTACTCGGAAGCAGAAAATGTCACGCGAGCGAAGGATATTGTGGCAAGTCTGGAAGTCATATAACAGAAATGAGTATCGCATAAGCATCAGATAGCTTGACGGGCCAGGATCTCCATGCAAATGTGGCGTCTACCCACATCGAAGAAAGACAGCCTGGCAAGCTGTCAAAGCAAACACACTCCATAATTTTCAGTGAAATAACATTGGCTTTAGCTGGATGTTGGTTGAATGAGAGCTTTACCACAGAGAGAAGGCACGACTGAAGCTCGTGTGTTAGCGTCTACACAGGTGTCTAGTTGCTTTAGTTGCTTGAGAGCCCTGCAGTGAAACCGCATGATCAACACGAGTTGCGAGCTGCTCATCGCTTCGTTTGCGACTGCGCCACAATGGTCATAGTAGGATATTTTGATGTAGCAACCGAAAACAGACATTAAGAAGAGGCAATGATGATGTTCACGGACCAAACCTCTGTGGCATAGGTGAAGTTCTTCCCGAGATCCTTCTCCACGTCACTGAACTTCTCTTTGGTCATCGATGAAAGTGGCACATGGTTCAGGATGAATTGTTAAGTCCAACGACCTGCGTTCCTCGGGAGGATCTCACGAGGGATCGCACGCCACGTCGATGAACAGTTCTGCATAGCCCAAGTGAGTGACCACAGTCTGGCTGATGTTCTTCTCATGGGGAACCTATACGCTATCTTGGAAGATGCAAGCATGTGGCTTGAAATTTCCATGGCCCATGATTTCAGACCATGCTGACGCATACTTGAACATGGAGCCTGGATGTCTACGCTGGTTGGCTTGGCCATTCAGCGCAGTGACCTGCAGCATAAACACATCATATTTAGCAGCGATATGTCCTGTGTGCCGCAACAACTTACCAAGGAACAGACTTCTGTATCCTTCCCAGCCTGAACGGGAATTCTTGCAAAGGCTCCGGTTTGATGAAGATGCTGTAAGCTACCAGCAACAGGTGTGCAGTGCTTGACACTATGCAGTGAGAAATTAGTGGGCAAGGCTACAAGACACCCAGTTAAGGGGTCGAGTCTCTCAGTGGAGAAGTTCCTGTAGATTGTGGTGTAGCTACCTGGTATATATACATGTGGGTAAAGACCCCATATACCGGGTCTAGGACCTCTGGTACCTACAGCCACTATCTACTTACATTGATGAGTAATACTTCAGTATCTAACTGGCCAATGGCGTATTTACTCAAATGTCGTACGATACTTCATGAATATCATGATTGGATAATGTCTTATCGTACGATCCCTTGAAATTATACTATTGGACAATGTCTGTCCATACCCTTCTACTTACTGGGATCTTTGTAGATTACGCGGAATATATTATTCCTTCAACACCCTCTCTTGATCGAGATAATCACAGTATGTATCACATCATTGTGTGTACTATAGGTTCTATGAACTATTGACGAGTTTCATGAACAGGTCATTTCTGTGGGGTTGTTGACATGTAGAAATGAGGAAGCAAGCGTACAAGCATCCAGGGTTTGGAATGTTTGAAAACAAGTGTTTTGTTTCAAGGACAATGTTTTGCCCTGTATTGGTGCAGTTTATTGGACTTGCTCAGGTCATTTAGAAACAAGTATTTTGTTTCAAGGACAGTGTTTGCCCTGTGTTCACAATGTACCTTAAATGAATATGAGCAGTGGCCATTTGGAGATGGTAATCAACATCCATCATAAGATACTATGACAAGGTATGAACCAGGCATAATAAAGTGAACTGGCTAATCATCATAGTAATTGCCATGTGATGCAGTTTAAGGACTTGCTTCAGGTCAGGTGCTTTAATAAGTGGTACTTCACATTTAGAAACAGGAATTTGTTTCAGGGACAGTATCTGCCCTATTTGTCACAGTATATTTCACAGTATACTATGCAAATGGATATTCGATCTAGTGAAGATTTGGTATGCAAGATTTGATCGAATATTATGGTGAGTCAAGTATCATGCACTTTTTCAGATTTGATATCTCCACAATCTGGGTTGGCTGTATTTGGTTTCTAATCATTTGAAGGAAAACAGTGGTTCTTTTGTGATGTAAGAACTAGTATGGACACAATCTTGGTTGGCTATCACTATGCTCAGTTGGATTGTTTTCTGTGTGCCTTTGCAGTATCCTATACTAATTTCCTGATTTAGAAAGATCATTGTCATGTGAATAATGAGCTCGCTGCGACAGTGGAGTTTGTGTCACAGCGACGCTGGACAAGAGATCAAAGAGACTAAAAACTATCTATATAACCCGGGCCGAATGTAACATTCGGCCTCCCTCCGTGCGCACCTCCTAGCTCTTCGAGATCATGTCCTATCCTCTTAAAAACAATCTCATTTGAAAGCCCTGCTTCGATTCTCGGGGTCGCAAAAGGGTCGCAATCATTCGACGCAATGGATCATGCGCGAAAGCTTGCGCAATCAGGTAAGTTTTTGCATTCTGTCAACTTTGACTAGAATATTTTTAAAAACTTGAGCAGGTGCTCTAAATTCTGTTTTTTTTTTGCGACCCCTAGGCATGCATATCCTCCTCATCATATCATTATTTCAAGTATTATCACCGTCCGGTTTGTTTTCTATGCATTGTTCTTTGAGCTCGCTCGATAAGCGCCCGTTTAGCGCGTAGCTCATTTTATTTTTTTCTCGCCGTACATCCACTCTATCCCCTAGGCGCTGCTTGCGACCTCTCGCTATACCATTCACCTATATGTATGCCAA